GGAGGATGGGGGGGGGAAAGTGAGGGTGGAGAGGGTGGGCGTCAGCATTGTATTTCTATCTGGAGTTGCACTTGTGGTGGGGATGGGGTTGGTGGCATGTTGCACATGCGGGGAGTGATCAGCCTTCTTCTTTGTCAAATCGTCGTTGTCTGCTGCCGCTGTGGGTGGAGATCGTGCATTGAGATCAGGCAGAATCTCTGTAGGTCGTCCACTTCGAAAGCCCCTTGCAGGTCGGCTGTGCTTTGTCGCGCTGGGTATGCAGTCAGCCATTGTTTGTCTTGAGGCAGACAAAGAAGCAGGCAGGTACTTACACAGGGGAGAATGGACAGCTTGATGGAGGAATGCATGATTCATATTCTTTGTCGGTCTGGGTTGGGAGTGGAGGATCTTCAAGGATGAGTCAGCAGCATTGGTGGATTTCAAATGACCATTATGAGTCATCCGTAACTCTCTGAAAGCTCGGGCAATTTATACTGAAATGCAGTCACACAAGCCAGTGCGGTCTACATCAAGGACATCTTGGAATAGCACGTGTCGGGACAAATCCATATGCCATAGAACTGAGGTTGGAACGGGCACAAGAGCCTCAGAGGTATTGATCTTATGACAAGAATTCCTGCGCTCTTGCAGAACGTCAAGGTCCTTTGATAGTATAGAGTAAATCTAAGGTATTGTGAATATAATCTTTAGAACCAAAGGTCAATGATGACAGGCAGCGAGTTTCCGAGTGAATCTCATAGTGATTGATAAAAATAACATATTCTTATTATGAGCAATGTTTATTGAAATGTCCCGCTGGCGCAATGGTGAGAATATCCCAATTCATTGTCCCTTTTCTTTCTAACATATCTCAAAGGTAGCGCGTTAGACTTCTACCCAGTTGATTCACAATCTAAAGGTTGTGGGTTCGAGTCCCACGCGGGATGCTGATTGTTTTTGCCCATCAGAACCCTCGCAACGGTAACCCTAGTTGTGCACAGAAGCAACTACTGACTGGCAGGTTCGATAATAGGGGGTTGATACCTAGGACAGTCGCTATAAGTTATCTGGGGGGCACCCCCGAGCCTATACCCCCACTGGCCTGCCTCACATCCACCTACCAGTTAGCAGCCCAGACGTCTTTCTAGGTACACCCACCGCTTAGCATTCAGACACGTCATGTCACCCATAGAAAAAAAAGAAGAGCTGATGATGACGATCAGAGCAAGTGTGCTCGTCTCCGATACTGCTTTTGATTCCTCGATTTTTCCTACATCCAACCTCTATCCGCAGACATTAATCTACATTTAAAGGAGTCCGCACTGCCTCACGTTTTCCTGCCCAGGACTGCAACGAATAATGTCATGGACCATACCCTATCTGTAGGCCATCAAATCCAATAGGCGTTTTCGAGGAGATGACTCCCACTTGGACCGGGCAGTCAGTCAGTCAGTCCGTCTCATATTTCCATGTGTGAAAGCTAGGCCTGTATCTGTGTGTCTCCTCACCCAGTCAGTAAATATAGGAGGGGAACTGCCTAATATCTTTCGGAATCTCTGGTGTGGAATTTCCAAGGAACCAAAGGAGTAGACTGGGTGAGACAGGGATGCGAGATCGAGCTGTCAGTTATGGGGACATCACAGCACATCACATCACGGCAACAGCAACAGCAACAGGACACACGGGCAGGAGGATGGAAGAAAAAGTAAAAGCACTTTTGTATTTCTGAGCAATCTCTCTCAGAGCTCCCAGCGATAGCCTGTGATTTTGTTTGCACCCCTCCCGCAATTATGACGACAAGCCACAGATTTGCTTGCTTGCTTGCTCCAAGGCAGCAATCGATTTCTCACCTAACTCCAGGCCACACCATCCCCAGCGTTCATCTGTGCCAACTAACTAGCGGACAGTCAGTGCGTGCTCAAGGAGTTCTCGCACCGCCAGACCACCGCATCCGCAGCGAGGCAATAACCACACCCAGCATCAGCCGAGTGTCTTGGTGACTACCGAACCGAGATCACTCTTGTCCTTGAAGCCGCACTTCTCATGTACTTCGGCCGCCATCACCGCCACGTCTTCCGGGTTGTTGCGATCGCCCTTGAAGTTCTCTTGCACGTCCATGATGCAGCCCATTTCCTCCGGGTCGAAGATCTCCCACTGGCGTGCTCGCAGCGGCTTGGGCATCTTGATAATGGGTGAGTTGCGCTCATATTGGAGGCAGCGGAGCAGGACGGACCAGTGGGGAATTTTGTGGCTCTCGTCGAGCATTGCGGAATGAGTGGCAAGGTAGGCTTGGATAAGCTGCACGTTGGTGCAGCGCTGGGCTGTTACTTCTTCTGGCGTGGTGAGGTTGGTTGGTTCGCGGAAGTGGAGGTTGCGGGTGGTGGTATCTTTAGATAGGTTGGAGTGGCAGTCCATGATGGCATCCACGAGGGCTTTTTTGTCTGCGGCTGACAGGGTGGTGAGGTCGGTGTGATCGTATTTTGTGAAGATAGCTTTGGCGCAGGGTTTGTTCATCTCCACAATCATGGGGTCGACCAGTTGACGTTCGAATAGAGTGTCTGATGATGTGGATGGAGCAAGATGATCGATGTTCATATCACGGTCAGAGACAACATTGCCAACGTCAGACGGCTTCCAACAACTAGCTCCCCACCGACAGCGTCTCCATCCGTCTGCAGTACTGCCTCCCTTGCTATTGGGACCAAGATCGACAGCCGCAACAGTGGTATCACGCTTCGCAATGTCCCCGCCGTTGTTGGCAATGTCATCAGTATCAGCTTCATCAAGCCGCTTGACAAAAGGACAGGGCATGCCATGTTTGCGGCAGGGGTGCCAGTCCAAAAAAGGGTTGTAGGTGCCGCCTTCTTCAGCATCAGCAGCAAGATCGGTGACTGGGTTGGCAACACTGCGGGTCGCAATGTTGTGGTTGTTGTCAGCAGAGATCAGTGCTTTGAGGTTCTTGATGAAGTCAGGAACAGGTGAGGTAAACCCGAGGTTGCCAGTGAGGATTATCCCCAGAGAGAGGATGAGGAGGGCGAAGGATCTCATGTTGAATGCTTCAGCGATGATGATAGTGGAGGTAGCAGAGTATGTATGTTGTTGGTGATGGAGTTGATATGTTAGAAAGGGTGGATGTTCTGGGTTGGGAGTGGCAGGAGTGTCTGTGAGGTGAAGGCTTTTATTTGTACTTAGGTACAAGGCAGGCGATGGGTTGTGATTAGTGAATAGAAGTCAACACCGGTGAAGTGAATGTAAAGGCACGTCAGTACACAGCGGCCGCGCAGACCTCACAGTCCAGTGCTGGCATGAATCATGTTTCTCTTGTTCTGCTATCTCTATCTTTGACAGGAAGACAAGAGTGTGTACTTCCATGTTGACCGTCAAGGCTTAGTTGTGGTATTGAGGGTATCATTCACTTATCCGTCCCACTGACCATTCCACGTACTGATTGAAGTTCTCGTTACGCAACCATTCATCACCAGTCTAGTAGCATGTGGCTGAGTAGTGCTTTCAACCTACCATCCCGGTTCTTTTCCATACATGATTGAGTTCTATTGTGCCATCTTAAGCTTTCACACCCAATGCAGGAGGAAGTCGCTGGTTGAAAGTTTTCCACGTAGGTATTGGGATGTGGGGTTTCATGGCCCTATGCTATCTCTTTCCGGTTCGAGCTGAGCAAGAAGACTGAAAGCCCACTCCGCACACACACATAGTGCTTTCTCTTGACATGCCTCTGCTAATAGGAGACCAGTCTAGCAGTGAACTATCGCAACGTTATGTTCATAAACTCGAGAAACCGGCTGGATTTCTCGGATAAGGGGTCAGTCTTGGCCCTCGTCACAAGAAATCGTGCCCTGTTGCCCTGTCCAGTCAGGCTACGCAGGAAGGATTGACATGTCCGAATGACAAAACGTTGGCGGGTAGACGATACTGGCAGCGTTGGAGGCCGGGGAAAGCAGAAGATCAGACACTGATAGGTGATGACCATGGAGAGGCACTGAGGCCATCAGGCCGGCGAATTGTGGCAAACAGAGTAGTAGGTAAGGCACTATACGACATGTTTGTAGATACCAACCATGTACTGAGGAATGCAGTGAAATTTCCTGGCGCTATTCCTCTCAGGCGGGTCCCGTACAGAAGGTATGGATTCGTTTGAGTTCCAGCTCCTGTGGGTTGGCAGCAAGAATGTAGTCTGAGAATGGTGTTAGCTTGGTAGTAGCAGGAGTCAGCAAGGAGGTTGAGGGGTCCAGAAGGTTGTCCATTCATGACTCCCTTAAAGACGGACGATACAAATCTAGGGTGCCTAGCATTGAGTTAGCTTGGTTGCTGGCCGCAATTCTTCACGGTCATAGGGGCTGCGAGTAAGCGTTCTCGTATTCAAAATCAGTCTTCAAAGCGTGGCAGGAGAGTCCTTTAGTGTAACGAGTTATTTCATGCATAGGGATCACACTTCTCTGCATGTTTAAATTGCTCGTCAATACATGGCACATAGCGTGAAATGGCTCTGAAGTGGACGAGCTCTTCAGCAACTGCCAACCTAAATATTGCAAGACATGTCTCACAACAGCAAATAGCTCAGAGGAAGCGGAATTATAGCCGACACCGCGAAGGTCAATTCAATGCTCGAAGGCATTCCTAGACTGTAGGGATTGGCGTGCCGCAAGAGGAATGAAAGATTCGCATTTCCTGTCGACTGCGGATCGTATGTATGGGAGGCCACCATGAGAAGTTCAACAGCACAGCTAGAGAAGCAATGGAGCCAATAGCAGGAGGTGGATGCAGAAGTAAAAAAGGGGAGTCAAAGAGGAGCTGGGTCCAGATGAGACCCTCCACGGAGATGGCTCCAGCAAAGTGGGTTTTGCAGTGAAACCTCCAGCCACTGCATGGATTTTCTGTTGATCCCAATATTCCAACTGGCGACAGGTGTTCTCTGACATGTTAACCTGCTGCAGAAGCCAAAAGAAGCCAAAGATGGATAATGGTGTCCGGGAGGGAGATCCGCCATCTGCGTATTCCATCTGCCGGCATTAGTGCTGTTAGCCTACTTTCCCCCAAATAAGCTCCAACATGTTTTCCATTTCAACAGATGGCTAGAAGAGTTAGATCTTGCCGGGCTTCGCAGCACCTATCGTGAACTTGCATCATCCCAAAGCAGTAGACGGTAGAGCTCACCTAGTAAAAGTTAGATCATCGGAGCTGAAGACCTCCGGATGTCAGCCGGTTATCGCGACTTGCTTGCAAGCCTCCTCGATTCAGGCAACAAGCTTCAATGCTGGCGCAAAGTCTACAGGAAGGTTTTGTGCCATCAGCGATCTCCGGGATTGAGCTTAAGCTTTTGCCGCATTTTCTTGATCACCGGTTGATTCGTACATCAGATCGTCATCTATGGTTTGCATGCTCAAGCTGCCCTGTCGATCATTTTTGAGACATAATGGTACGTGCCCACCATTTGCCTTCGACCAAAAGATAAGATGTGCTTCGTGGCAGTTCGCTCCGATACCCGGATTCACGGTGGAAACTCTAATTTTCAAGCATGCGCTCAGATGATACACATCAAGCTTTGAACTTTAATGGTAGATCGGAGACAGAGAAGCGGTCGGGAAACCCTATTGGCATACTATTGACATTTCAATCGAGATATGTGAAGTCTATGTTCTAAAGCGCTAATTGAACAGGTAAGCTCTTTCGGGAAGAATGCAACCATCACTAACAGTAACTGTGCAGAGTGGGACACTACACTTCGTACTTTAGGGAGGTTGAGCAAGTGAATCATAAAATCTCGTCGTCATACACTCATGGACCTTCGTCGCCTGCTTTGGTGGTCCCATGAATCGGGATGATGCTGGTATGACAGAGTACGTAGGTCGTAAGTCGTAGGCCGTAGGCCGTAGGTCGATATTAACACGCCGACATGAACGAACCAGCAGTACTTAATAAGCAGCGGTAATGATATCGTTGCAACCGTACTCATGGACGGCGATCAGGGGATTGCTGCGGTGGGAAGAGGGAATAAGATCCGCGAACAGGTTGTAATCTTCCTGGAGTAACAGCAGTGGCAGATCTCTTTCGAGCCGCAACAGGCCCAGCCTTTGCTTTGCTCAGATCTCCCCTGTTGTCGTTGTTGCTGTTGTCGAAAGGCTCACATGAGATCTCTGGAAGTCTGATAGGAGATATCGGTGATATGCTTGGAAGCTCAGACGCAGCACTTTCGGCAAAGATGACCTGGAAACCGCGGGACTTCTCAAGCTCCAGTTGGGACTGAAAGTCAGAGGGCGAGCGGAGTGGAGACAGATGTAGACCTTTGGTGGTAACCTCGGTATTTGGTTGTTTTTCACCCCCAAAACTCTCCCGACTGTTGTTTAGGCTGTAAATCAGTTCTGGCAGACTGCTAACCGAGTTTGAGGATCGATAAGTTCGGATTGTCGAGGGAGTACTCGACAACAAGCTGCCATCTGAGCTGTACTTGTTCTGTAAGGGGTGAAGGCCGCCAAAGAGGCTCGAGGCTTGAGATAAGGATCGCTCCAGTGAAGCCATAGGTGCGGTCGGCAGCTCAAATCTAGCACAATCATAGGCCTCTTCCTGGATACATGAGTCGGGATCAATATAGAGACCCTTCATAAATACGCAGAGGTCTAGACTAGATTTGGAGGATTTTTGTGGAAGATGCTGATATCCTCGGAATTCACTTGAAGACTGGTGTCGACCAAAAGGAGAGAGACGGTCTTCGAGCTCCCATATCGACCTCTGTGAAGTATGCTCTGGATCGTTGTTGTTTTTGGTGGTAGCATGCATCTGGCTGGGGTTTCTTGAGAACCGCATAGATACCGGGTTATCTGAGATTTCGAGATCGTTCTTATTCGAAGAGGCCGAATCATCTACAGGCTGAGCTTCGAGCGTTGCTGTACCTATAGACTCGATGTCTTCATCCACATAGACAGTTTTTTGGCTCCAATCGAAGTTGCAGTCAGCCTCAGCAGCCTGCTCATAGCTGTAGTCAACAACTTCTTCCCAATGGCGCATGGATGCTGGTTGGATAAGAGATACCGGTTGTAACGGATCTGGCTGTGCGGAATCTGGCTGTGAATAATCTTGTTGTAAGGACTCTGACCTCATTTCTGTGAATTGTTGGTCGTTGATAGAAAGGCCACGATGGTCATTTTGCGAGAGGGTTTTAACAGTCGGAAATGAACAGCCATGGCGTAACGGTATAGTCGTTAGGGTACCAATATCTGCCAAAACAAGCCGATCAGTCTTAGTGCTATTGCCTACATTTGATTTGAATTTGGAAGCGTGAGGTGGTAAAAGCGCCGGACTAGTCGAAGGTCTATCGCAGCCATTGACGGTGAGATTGGCTTCAGGGGCGGCCAGATTGGGCTCGTTGTTGTGGTAATGGGAACGACGGGCCGCTTTTGTACCATCAAGGAGCTGGTGGTTGGACCCCCCAGTTGTGTTCCTGGGAAAGCTATTCCTCGGTTGCATTGAACGAGCTGGATGTTCACACACACTTCGGGAAGATGTACGAGGTGGAGGCGAGATTGGTGATCTAGCTGACCATGGTGCGGGTCTAGAAAAGTTTTCGATGGACCGGGTAGAGCGAATGCATCTGGGATGCTCAGGAGTTTTGGGTAATGTCTGTGCTGGTGCTTGAAACCTTTGCTCGTCAGCTGGCGAGCGTGAGTGGCTTGCTGTCGATGAGGTGAGCTGTAGTCCACCAGCTGAACGTCTCATGTGTGTAGCATCTTGCAGGTCAGTGGCCTGAATGCCTTGCAGTGTGGACTTGGGTCTCTGAGCTGCGCGTATTGCGACAAATTCGTTAATCAGTTCGTTCCGGGTTCCCCTTTCAAGGCGTTCAAAGTGCCGGTGTTTGGTATGAGTCACGTGATGAAAGTCGAATGGAAGCGATATTGCCTTTTTCCGGGCTTGATGATATCTGTCAGCGGATTGTTAGAAGCGATCTGGGACAACTTACTTCCAGCAGCCTTGGATGTCCTTTGAGATTGCTGAGGGCGTTGACAAGTTTCCGAAACCTCCATATTGCTATTGTTGGGCTCTTCCTCTAAAAGGTATGAGGTGAGGTTCAATTTGCTACCATGCCGTTTCAGCATCCGACCACCTCGTGCCAGTATTGATTTCGCAGCACTCTCCGGGCGATCATGACGCAGCGCCGTAGAGTCCTGACGCCAACCCCACGAGTATCGAGAGGAAGAGGTTTCAGTTTCAGCCAACAAGGAGATTGAGAGCGGTTGTGAGTAAGGACGAGAAGCAGAACTGGCGGTCCTCAGTCGAGTGATCAGGGAATTTCGCTGCTTCGGATCGGTAATGTACATTGACTGTAACCGCGAAGTATGGTCGTCACCGGCAAGGCTCATTTTTGGCATGGGTTCTGGAGATGTCGACGTCTGTTGATGGCTCATGTTGTATTCTTTGCCGTATGATTTGATGCCTTCTTGAACATGTATCTCGGACTGCAAGAGAGATCCCACATCTACTGCATAGAAAAGGAAGCCAGAGATGGAGGGATTGCCTCGCTTATATCAAAGAGCCAGATGAGGATGAATTCTGGATGTTGATTTAGCAAACGAACAACAAGGTCACCAGCAGTGGAGGACAGACTAGGTTTATAGACACAATGCGTAAGATAAGCATGGGCTATTCAAATTGTATCACCAGAGACAAGGATGAGGATCAATATTCCAAATGGCAGAAATGTACCAATCCGGCCAACAACCACACACCACGATATGTAGCCACGGATAGTGCCGTTCCACGAGGTGAAATCTTCCGCGAGGATGGCTGAGGCACACCAAAGAGGTGTGTCCCAAGATGGCAAGTATAGGATCAAAAGATTTTTTTGAAGAGGTGTGGGAGTCTGTCAAGTACAAGGAAGAATGACATTGCCAGGGAAATGCTTGCCAGGTGAGCCTATTGCAATCGTGGCCGCTGCATGCAGGGCGTAGGAGATGTAGAAGGATTATAAAGTCTATGAGGCGGCATGGTAACACCAAAGATGCGCGCACTGCAGATGTGATAATGAACCTTCAGGCGAGAAAATGGAAAGATAAAGAGCATGGTAGCAGTCTTCATTGGAGGAAAGTAAAGGACCCATACCATCATAGGTAATCGGGTAATTCTCGTTAGACTTGCCGATTACAACCATTCTAGAAGAAATAGGACTGACGGGCAGCACACGGTACCGATAGTCTAAGCACAAAGCATCCCATGCTGTTCTAGGGCTGCTAACTTCACTGACTAACCGTTCCGAATCTGACACACCCAGGACCGGTAGTTCTTGCTTGTCAGAAATTGCACATCTCGTCCTCAGTGGGTGGGTGGGTGGATGGTGGATGGGTGGATGGGTGGATGTAGGAACAAGGGCTTGTCAAGAAGAAGCCTTCCGTAGTATTTAGACTTGGCAGGTAGTACTACGTACTTAGTACGGTAAACGCTACCATGGTCCATGCTACAACAATCGAAGTACTGGAATTGGTCGATTGCCCATGGCCAACCGGGTTTGTAGCGGCATATGCATCGGGTTCCTGACTCCCCGCCGCCGCCTTGATCGTTTAGCACGTTCCTGAAGCTATATTATGGTGGGAGGCAAGTGCCCCTAGTACAGTGCTAAGAACGGCTAGTAATAATCACGTTGCCACCACGCTTTCTTGAAGCTTCTCTTGTCAGTATCCACAAAATCGACTTCTTTCAGTACAGCTAACTCATGGTCAGCTTAGCAGATACGTAAAGTAGCTGTTTTGAGGGACGAATCCTAGCGCCGTGCTAGGGATACTTCAGCCCGATACCGTAGTACGTTTCGACCATCAAGCACCGCCGCTTGCTAAATTTGCTAATGACTATTGCGGGCTTACTACAGTATCTGGCAGAAGGATCCCTAGCACGGCGCTAGTATTCGCCACTCCGAGCACTCTCAATACAGATATCCCTGCCGCCCTTGTACGATATTCCTGTCCCTCGGTCTTGAACAAACACATGAGTGAACCTTGGTTAGGCGATTTCTGGGCACTCTATCCTCATTACGGCAAGAAGTCGATACGTGGCGTTGTAACTATACAAGTTGCTTCTAGCACTATACTAGGGATAATTATGCCTCCCCCCGTAGTAGTTCGTCCGAAGGCTTGACCTTAAACTGATTTAATTATGTCGTCTCACATTGCAGCACAATAACGGCCTTTTCAATCTCCTCATAGTCTATGATGTGCTTCTGTCGTTCCTATGGACAATGAGGCTAATCGTTATTTGATAGTTGGGGCAAACAGCGAATAATCCATCCTCGCGAGTGCTGCATTGTTCGAGGAATTTTTCGTGACTGGCTGTTGGCAGCGAAGATTGTAGACAAGAAAGGCTAATGTCCCTGAGAACCTGACATGGAGATCCATGCTTCTTCGGGGTACGAGCTGTCCATACTACGTACTACGTACAGCAGCATGTAGTCGTTAAGTTAGTCGGTGGTTGCAGGTTAGTCCAAGGGCGACGACGGTCGGCGGTCTGAGGCGGCACAGCAAACCTCACAACGGCGACAGCCCCAAGGTAGAAAATACTAGGGAGCAAATTATTGTTTTCTTGAGCGGATATTATTCATTCCACTAATTAGAGAATAAGAGCCTCTTTCACCAAAGAGACATCGTCTTGATCAATGCATAAATCGGCCTCTGACAAGCATAAGCAAGCAAGGTCTCTCCAGCTTCTGCCGTTCCACAACATAAATATGACATTCTTTGGTCTCGATTCAAATCCCGAGGAGATCTTCCAGTAGTAATGGTGTCAGTAGTAGACACAGATTGGTCAATGAGTCAGAGTAATCTTTGGCATCATTAGCTGATCTCCCGAAATCCTGATGGTGTTGGATTGGCGCGTTGCAGGGTGTTTGAGGCACAAAGGTCTTGCACTGTAGCGGGGCTACCAGTCCAGAGTCCTTGGCTGCTTCAAGCAACTACTACTAGTACAACAACATTTACTACGTACTACGTAATGCTTCAAGTGCAGTAGCCGCAACCCTCGATAAGTGAACAGCGATGGATCGACTGCGCCTGGTGTGCCCAACCGTGTGGATAAAAACGTGCATCTTATTGCAGATGTTTCCAGGGGTATGTTTCCAGGGGTATGTAGGTTACCCACCTGTTCCACCAAGTAACCTGGTAGGAAGCCTGCCTAGGCCTGTTTCTCGACCTCCCCACCGATTCCCAGATATGCAAAGTGATTCAGAAAGCACATGCAGAAGCTTACCAGGCATTGTGAACCCCTGCTCTCCCTCAACCCGACTTTTCGATAGGTCTCTTATCTCCCTTATCAAGCATATTTACCATAATGGTCGCTTCTTCTCATTCGCCCTTAATGAACATAAATGATGGCCATGTACCAATCATGCCACCAGTATCAGAGCCTATCTGTAATGGATGCCTTCACGGGTGAGCCTACGTAGTACGGAGTACTGCACGATGCATTATCAATGAACTACTGAAGAGGCATGCTAATCCAGCGTTGGGCCTGGCTTGCGCTCGGAACCGATTCTTTCCCAACCCCTTATTTATTATCAAACTCGCTGCTTGGAGGATTCGTATTGACAAGGACAGTATTATCACCAGCCACCGTCAGGTAAGAGATCTCTACGACGTAATGCTGTGTTTACCGCTACTCCACCTATTCCATGTACCGTACTCTGGACTTACCTTGTAGATCTTCCGCCCTAATGGAATGCTTAGGACGGGCAGCCTTTCTTGGTCGGTGAAATCTGCCTCGACTGCAGAAGCCTCAAATGCAGCCAATCAGCCCATCGGATCCTGTCTGTCTGGGAGCATGCAAAGCGAAAATATATGCAACTCATCTTCGTGCCTTGGATAGCGCTATTCTACGACAGCTACATTAGCCGCTAGAAGACGAAAAGAGAAGTAGGCCACTGTTGACTTCCCATCTTACTTTACACTGGACATGAAGCGGAATCCCGATGATGTCTTCCCCAACTTTGTTCGTTTCCTTTTGCGGACTGTTGACTTCGGATTGTGCCTATCGGCCCTGTACATGAAGTAAATCTTTCCACATTTGTTATCTTCTACAACTCAATCGCTTGAAATGGCCATGTCCACCTATGATGTTACACAAACCAGCTGCGCTCGAGAGCACTCGTCTCGGTCCGTTATGTTCGCAGCTTCCACTTCAGTCACTTCAATGGTTTGAATTGCTAGTCAAATGAAAGCCTGTCCCGCAGTTGAGTCGTGTGTGTATCTGAGTCAATCTGCAGACCATCTCATAAACGCAAGGTCGGATGGTCTTTGAAGAGTTCAGGGAACAACAACCGTCAGCTTGGTCTGAACTATGAGGCAATAATAAAATCGTGTCCCTGCCGATCTTCCTTCTCACGCCACTCATTTGCGGAGACAGGAGGGAAAATAAGACTGAGCCACGGTAGCGCTAAAAGGAATCGAACCGAACCGGTAATTCAGCCTCCTCCTGGCACAGAGGCTAGCTCGCGAGTTGACTACAACGGGAGAGGCCTAAAGTAAAAGTTAGCTCAGCGCTAGTATCTTTACCGATGAACGTCCCTCGCACAAAACAGCTATGTCTAAAAGAAGTTAGATGTAACAGACTAGCTCCTCACAGTGGCTACGTATAAAATAAGCTTCACACTGACGAATCATAGTGCTGAAATTCGGTAACCAGAACTAGCTGCCATCAGCACCTGACTAACATTACTTCAGGCCCCCCCATAGTACTACTTAAGGCGATCTTTTAGGGAACGTTCGGGGGAGCAGGCACCCTTTGACTCCTCATGTCATTTTACACGTTTTCGGTTCCGACTCGGTCGACTTTGTCTTTTCTCGAAGCCATCCTTGCCAACAAAACCAACAAGCCAACATCAATTTGCCGGACCATAACGCGCCAATGCGAAAAATGCCATACAGTTGGCAAATGAGCAAGACGCCGCGGATATGTCGCAAGGACAAGATCGCTCGTTGCCGCATCCGGGGTACATAAGATCCGGCCTTACTCCGTATGGACAGCGCGATATCAAGTAGTGGCTGTGCAAGTGGCGCTACAGCGGTGAAAATGGATCTGGTACACCTGACCTTGTGCATTTAACGATGGTATCACCATCTACCCCTATGACGGCTGATCTGGGGTTTGAATGGTTCGAATGGTACAATTAGTACAATTAGTACGTTCATGCATCATCAGCTGAGGCTGGGGAGAAACTTTATCGAACTACATCTCGACTTCTCAGCTTCTCGTTCCTACGCCCTCGGCTTTGCTCCATAACAGGCCCCAAAAAGTGGTGACGAGCACATCCGACCATCCAGGCCTCCATATCCTCTGCGCTGCGCATTCTTCCTGTCTTTTAGGTTTTAGGAACCGCGATAAACTCGTACTACGTACGTGGGAACTGAATATGACAAATATGAGCAATAGCCTGAGATTGATCTGGCGGTCACCGTTCGATTAGGCTACAGTTCTAACAAGCACAGAGAACCGAACCCAGCAGACGTCAATGTTTGCAACTCGTCGCGCTTTGGAGACTCTGGTAGTATCCCAGGACTAACAAGGACAGTACACACAAGTGGCGATAACGGGTTGGTTTTCTTCATCCGCGCAACCCACATCCACGCATGCAAGTTCTCCGCTAGATAGAATATCGCAAACTCCCAATATCTCTTACACGGCTTTCAGATGATACGCAAATGAAGTAGAAGTGCTAGTCAGGCAATCGGTCAGGTTAAAACAGTCTTTCGGCAGCGCTCAAATACAATAGCATCAAAACTTCCTAACAGCTCGTCGTCCATGGAGGTGGAGGTACCAGTAGTCTCGTAACACTGGATGGGGTTATTCATTATCCCATTCTCAGCATGGCCGGTAACGCCACTCTAAGGACGATACCGGACTTCTCAAACGGAAAAGCCTCCCCTCCCCTGGTTCTGATGCTATTAGTCAGTGGCCGGAGTACAAGTGATTCAATAAAGTATGCGCTACCTAAGCTAGAACCAATCCACCTTGAAGATTGCCAGAGGCACCTCGCTTGTTCAGACCTCATATCAAGAAAGACGCATTGGTGATGACGATCCTGCCATGCCATGCCATGCAATTCCAAAAGCAACCATCCAAGCACCCAGAACACACAACACCACTGTTGCACGCCCCCAGACCGGTGAAAGGACGAGTTCCGCGAAACCCAGCAATCAGTCAATCAACCAAGTACGAGGATAAAATTGTCTTGCTAGGAAAGGACACCAAGTGACGTTCCAGCTATTCACTACCAGGTGTGTCCACATCGCCATTGCCATCCGCAGCCATGGCCGCCATAGCCGCATTGGCAATATCGATATTGGTCGACGAAGCAGTATTCTCCTCTCCCATATCATCGACTTCAGGCAGCGCAGCACTGGCATGTCCTCCTCGTCCCAGTTCATACGCTTCTTCATCTTCATCATCAGCAATCATACGATGCTGTTTCCTCTTCCGTGGAGGTCTCGAAGCTACGGGCGCGGCGTCCTCATCCTCGTCCTCATTCATTGATCCACCACGACCGCCATCGTTGTAGTTAGTGGTGCCGGGCGTATCAGCTGGCGTGATGGCACCAGTGCCCGCAGTCGCAGCGATGGCAGCATCACCCTCGCTCTCGCTTTCGACAACGATCTCCGAACTCTTGAATTTACTTGTTTTCGCACCTTTGCCCTTTCGGTCCAATCTTCTCCTCTTGGAGCCTTTGGGCTGTCTCTCAGCAGTGTCGCTTCTAGGCGTGCGTGAGGGACTTTTCTCACTGCGTAGATCATTTCCGCTTCCATCGCCGTCGTTATCGATGAAGTCGTCCACATCGTCTCCGCCTTTTCTCTTCTTGCCTTTGCCACCAGTCTTCTTCTTGAGGTCTTTCCTCTTCACTCTCTCGCCAGTGGCCTCATCCTCCGTCCATTCAGCTGCCTCCCGTGCCGCCTGCTCTGCAACCTGCTGTTCCGTGATACGTTGCGTCATCTCGATCATTCTTCTCCTCTCCTCGCCTACACGCTTTTGTCTCTCCTCTTCCTCTTCCCTCCTTCTCCGTGCATCCTCTTCTCTTTGCCTCAACTCTTCCTCTCTTCTCCCTCGCGCAAGCGCCAATTTCTCCTGATTCCTGTCCTCATATTCCTTCTGCGCCCGTTCCGCCCTCTCCAGTTGCTTTCGCATCGTATTCTTGCCCATGGCTGCTCTTTGTTCTAAAGCCGACCTAGGATAAGGAGGCTGTTTCACCTTCGCAATCGTCTGGAAGGTCTGAATTGCATCCTCTAGACCAGCAGCTGCGTCTTGGACCTCCTCTATCGTCCTCTGTGTTTCAGGCAAACTGTTGATCAACTGCGCGATCTGAAACTGCACGAATGCAATGTTAAATTGTAAATGCACCATCTCCGGCTGAGCAGCAAGCGCTCGTTGTGAGTAAGACAGGGCCGTCGTCATCGCAGTGTAGGACTTATCAGCTTTACCCTTCAAGAGCCAAACTCGAGACAGACAAGCCAATATCTGTGCGTTCTCGGAATTCCGACCATCTTTCTTAAGGGCAATCTCGTAGTTTTCTATGCTGCGCTGGTATTGTCTTAACTCCGCATAGACATGGCCCAGATTAATGTGTACCGAGGCATCACGGATAGTGTCTCGTACGCGCGCGAAGATCTGTACAGCAGATGAATAGTCTTTCTTATCATCGACCAGGGCAATGGCGATGCCTTGTGCAGCATACGCGTTTCGAGGATCAAGCTGGAGCGCTTTGTCAAAGAACTCCACGGCTTTCTCGTACATCTTTCTCCGCTTGTCCTTCTCCACGTCGGTAGAGCGAGGCATGTCTCGGGCAGTCAAGAGATAAATATTCCCCATGCCGGTAAGTGAGTATTTATCGTGCTTGTCGTATCCTTGTAAGGTGTGTTTGTAGTGTCGCTGCTCTTGGTCTTCAGCTATATTGTTTGTGCGTCGCTTCGAGCGGTTAAGGTACCAGCCCATCAAAGCACGGACCTCGACGTTGGTATTGTCGGATTGGTAGAGTGAAGACATGCGTTTTGGCCCTTCGGAGGTGGGAGATTCACGAAGCGCAATGTATGTCAAGCGTGCAGAAGCATCCGTGTAATCAGGATGGCGGGCGAGAAGGCCTTCATAAACTTTCTGTGCCTCCGGGAGCAGAGAGAGCGATTCGTAGGTGCGAGCCAGGTTGTACGAGATAGTGGTGACCAAGGCATCAGTATCAGTGTTGTCCGCTTCTGTAGAGGGGTTATTTGGATCTGCATTTTCAGCTTCCTGCTTTTCAGTCGTCTTGACACAGGCGTTAAGAGCAATCTGGAAAGTTTCGAGTGCAGTATCATAGGACTCAGAGGCGTAATGGAAGCAAGCCATGTTGTTTAGAAGTTGTGGAGGAAGATGTTCGCGAAGCTGAGAGAGATACAGAGCAGCGTCGTCAGTCAATTGTGGCTTGTCGGCCTCATCAATCTTTTCCAACTGCAATTGTTCGACAAGTTGAAGACATTTCATACTTTCAATGGGCTGTGTCACTTCGTATAAACGAGCCAAATAGAGCAGCACAGACTCATCCGGCTTTGCCTTGATCTTCTCGTCGTTCCACGATTTCCTAACCACTTCTAGAAAATTGATGGCCTTCTTTGCCTCTGCAGATTTGTCTTCTTTTGTTGGAGAAGTTTGAGCCGCGAAAACTTCTTCGGCATACAGGCATCCGAGAAGGGTCATAGCCTCAAGACTTTTCGACGATTGCAGAAGCTTCTCAAGGCGAAATTTGGCGCCATCAAGATCCTGCATTTGAATTAATGCTTGGACAACACCAAACTTAGCCGGCAAGTAACCCTTATCTAACCCTCCTCTGGCCTGATCTGCTCGGTTATAGTAATCGTTTGCTTTCGAGTAGTCCTCCAGTTCATGCTCTTTTCTTGCTAACGTGAACCAGCCATCACTTGCTATAGCATTGACATCTGTTTGTTCGATTGCTTTCCTTGCCAAAGGCTCCACTGTCTGGTAGCGTGTGGTTAAAAGGAAGTAATTGGCAAATGTTGCGCAACTCAGAGGAAAATTCTTATCGATCTTGTATGCTTGCTGGGTGTATTCCGTCATGGCTTTTCTGTAAAGCGGACCAAACTGAGGATCGCTAGCGTTATACTTGGAACTTTCGCTCAGGTAGTAGATTCCAAGGAGGGCGTTCGCAACTTTAGATTTAGCATTCTATGCGACAAGGTCAGCTTCGACGGTGTGACAGATTGAAGGATGGTTACCAGTCCTAGAGATCTTTCCCACGATAGCTTTGCGTTTTCTTTGAAACCGAGCTGCCAAAGACAACAGCCGATCCCTATCCTAGGATCAGGATCTGTGAGACTCGGCATCTTTGAAAGCACTTCCTGATATGATTGCAACGAGTCTGCATATTTACCCTGTAAATATTGGACCCTTGCCCGCCCTAGGACAGCCATCATGTTTCTTCTGCCGGAGGACTTGAAAGCATCTTCGAAGCACTTAAGAGCTTGCCGCAACGATTCCGAGCGCTCTACGTCTCCAGTGCCAGGACCAGACTTTGAAGAGGACTGCAGCGAGGCTCGTAGCAATGATAGAACGCCTCGAGCAAGGTAAAGAGGAGGAAAGGCAGGGTTGAGCCGCGAGGCGTCATTGATAGCGGTAGTGGCCTCTCGTAGGAAGTGATCTTTTGTTTTCGCTTCTGACACGAGCTGACTCTCTGGTGGTACCCTGGGAGCGTGTCTGCTTTTCAGCAGGTAGAGCCAGCACAAGCAGCCCAGAAGACCAATCTTGTCCTTCGGGCCGCTTCTTCCTAGCGAAATCAGCCCTTTGTGGAGGATGTCGATGGCATGGTCATTCTGCTGTTGCTTTGCGTATGCCATAGCGATCGTGATCCATAGATTTTTCGCCGACTTTTCATTTTCCATGACTTGACATAGTTCGGTGGTATCGTCCAGCAACTCCTCCAGATTGACTTCGACTGCTTGGTCATCTTCACCAAAGACGGGGATATCGATCGCTGGTGGGATATCCGAGAACCGAGAGCTTTGTATCGATTGGTTATTTTGGACTGAGTCCTGCGACCAATTCGCCATACCATTTGTGAGGGGCGCCATGGCTTGTTGTTCGCAAGGACACCGTCGAAGAGTCTGATTTGGTAAGGAACTTGTGACGATGGATCAACTTCGTGGTGGTGGCTCCATGCAGAAGTGAATGTTAAGAAAGACAGTTCTGTCCTGGTATCCAATCAACATAGCAGAACGTGCAAGCTCAGAACATAAATGAGGTGCTTCAGAGCAGAAGACGCGCAGGTGCTGCCTTGCAACTTCGAAAACGCTCGGTCCAATTATGGTGGTGCTTTGCCAAGAGACTGCCTGACTAAGCCAGCACTGAACGAACGAAGCTCTTGAAAAGACAGGATTTAGGCTGGAGCCATCCAATAAAGAAAAAACAACGAACCAAACAAAGTGATGAAAACCCTCCAATCGCCTAAGCGAACAAGACTCTCATCGATCATCCTTCACCCCAGGTTTTTCATCGATCTTTATCACCAACTGCACGTGTGGCACTCCAGTCGTCGAAAGCTTGTCTACGAATTCCTTATTTATACAAGGTATCTCCCATCCTGCGCCAAAATAGCCAGAGCATGTCTGCTGCCTGCCCAGTCAATAGAGTCGAACGGTCATTTCGATAGCGGCAAAAGTATGACCTGAGAAAATTTGGTGATGACATTCACAACAAGAGCTACTGTCGCGAGTACCACAAATATCTGGCCAGCTTCGTACCACTTCACCAGCCTGACTTCGGTATCAATAAAACCTTTAGTCTTTTCGGCAGTTGCAGCACCATCAGCAGGAAATCGCCCGCTCTCTTTGAAGTATTCGAGAAGTTGGTCCTTCTCTTCCCAACGTTGCTTTAGCCACTTCTCAAACTCTGTAGCATTATCGAGAGGGATACTTGCAATGGGGAAACGTCGCCAGTACATGTTGACAGACTTCGGAGGCCGGCCTTGGAAAAATGTCGACCTAAGAGTGAAATAGTCTTGCGCATATCCACCCTTTCTATCTCCACGTCAACAATGGCTTTCAAAGGTGCGATGTTTCAACTTACGGGACGCCCTCATACGCTACTGTACAGTCATAGAGCCAATCAACTGATCCTCTGAGCTGCTGCAAACAAAAATAGAGGCCAGTGCTTCGAGGCAACAGCTGGTGCTGCATGTCTGGAACAGCTTGTTTGGCAGCCCATGCCTTGCTGCCTTTCCTTGTGTTGGCTGACAAATTGGTGCCTTCAGGGAAGATCAGCAACCACATCGGATCGAGGGTGTGCAGCCCAGACAATGGACCCGAATGTCGACCTTTCAACTTCTCCAGTCGATGCCGCAAGCGCGGCATGTCCGACTGCCATTTTCGAGCCATGAAAACGAACCCATAAAACATCATGCCTGGACCAATGACCGGAACGTATTTCAGGGCCTCTTTCAGGATGATATAGATGTGTCCATGCATCCTGCCGGTATATGCTATCCACCATAAATAGAGCCAATCAGTATAGAGTTGATGGTTGGCTATCATAATCAAACGCTCTGGAAAAGTCGTCTCCAGACGTCCATCACTTGTCTGCTTGAGCTGTCCTTGCATGCTTGCATCACCGCTCACATGTATTAATGTCGGGCTGAAGCACTGTGTGAGAGTTGTGATCGCCAGACCAAAAGATTGCTTTGTTAGAGCCATGTAGGCATAGTAATAGTCCTTGTTGAAGAAGTAAAGCGGCGAGCCAATTAGCTGGGTGACGTGTATACAAACGGCGCAATAGATTGACCAGTCTGCAAATAGAAGCATGCGCAGTATCTGGACGAAACCTCCATGCTTCACCTTCCCCGCTGGATGTGGTTCTTGCGATATGCCTGTAACACCATTGCTGAGATGAGACAGTGGCTCTGGTATCCCGTGTGAATTTCGTATCCTGAGCCCTTGGCTGTCCATGTCATTAGAACTAGTTGACATCTTCCAAATTTGGCAGAAAGGTAAGGCGAACAGGATGGAGGATGTGTGAGGGGGAAGCGTTGATTGAATGTGATTAGCAATTGACTGGAGGGCTGGAGCACGCCAGATCCATGGATCGTGGGTGCGGAAGAGGAAATAGACCGAGCAAGTGATGCGGTGGCATCTCTGGCGCACTGGGCAGCGTGATGCTTGAGTCAGGCAGAAGGATCGTATTGCTACTGTAGCTAGGTCCCATGAAGGCCACTCGAAGATCGCAGGCAGTGAAGAATCCTTGCAAGTGCAGTGTGTAACAGAATATGTACTGCTACTTAGTTCGTAGTATGGTCATACAAGGCTGGTCTGTGCACACCGCCACTGGAGGCTTCCCAGGTTCCCAGCCCAAGTCCTATGCATCCCAAGGTTGTTGGAGTCTGTTCTTCACCATGCTTACCGGACAGAACAACTGATATCGGATTTTAGGTCTACCGTCCTCTGTTGTAGACGCGACAGTCCTGGGTGGCTTCATTACCCTTGCTTCGTATTTGCATATTGATGTAGAGAATGAGCTCTGATCTCCGGTTGCTGCAAAGCATCTTGAATCCATGTGCCCGTCATCCTTTTCCAACTTTGCTGTCTGCCTTTCAAGTTCCACAGTCAAATGCATGCAAGAGCAAACGAAGCTTCACTTCGACCGTCCGCAGAAGAAACATTAGACCAGTATGGGATCTGCCTCAACGTGTCACTCCCTCTTATCATGGTAGGCAATATCAACATAATTGATCGACGGATTCAGTTCAGGATGCCCCGGCTAACCACGCAAAGCATGAATAGAGTCTGAAAGGACTGAACTGTTTTCTCTGAAATGGCCTTCCCCACCACGGAACATCCTGCTCGTGAAAAAGGAATGTTCTTCAGAGGCTGCCAACTCACTCAAAGAGTTTGCCTGGTAGGAGTCCCGTGGCAACTTAGCCCCTCGCTCTTTTGCATCAAGGAATTCACTGATGCTTCCATCAGTCATCTGCACAATGCTTATCCTTCTGTCAGCATTCTTCTAGAGCCTCACACTGCCCATGAGATTCATGGCGACTTGCCGTTTCCGACATATTCTGGTGAGATTAGCATGTGGTCCCCTCAAATTTTCCATGATAAAGTCGACCTTGTGGTCACTCTAGGTGGTGATGGGACCATTCTTCGTGCATCATCGCTTTTTGCTTCTTCCGACAATGTCCCCCCAATGTTGTCCTTCAGTATGGGCACACTTGGGTTCTTGAGCGAATGGAAATTCCCCGAGTACAAAAGGGCTTTTCGGGAAGTGTACATGTCAGGCGCTGGTGTTGAAGCTCGGAATGTAGCACTTGATGATTCCATGTCAGCCCCAGCAGGCCCTGCTGACAACGCTGGACCTACTGGGTGGTCTTCAATCCGAGGAAAGTCGATGGGTCCCTCTCGCGCGGCGAAAGTGTTGATGCGAAACCGGCTAAAGGTGGGAGTGTTTGCCGCTGATGGTACACCGTTAACCTCCGCTGGTGCCGCAACCCCTTCTTCAATTAGCTTGCATGCCATGAATGACGTTATCATCCATCGTGGGAGGGACCCTCATCTGGCGGTGGTTGAGGTCTTCGTAGGAGGACGATTTCTAACAGAGGCTGTGGCGGATGGGATGATTGTTTCAACTCCCACGGGTAGCACGGCATATAGTCTGAGCAGTGGCGGAAGCATCATTCATCCACTCGTTTCATCAATCCTGCTGACCCCCATCTGCCCTCGAAGCTTGAGCTTTCGGCCCTTGGTACTACCAGCGGGGACACCCATCACTTTGAAGCTGAGTGACAAGAATCGAGGTCGAGAAGTCGAAGTTAGCCTTGATGGAGTTAGACGGAAAGAAAGCATGAGCGTTGGTATGGAAGTTCGTGTTACAGGAGAAGAACTCAAGCGGGCTGGAAGCCGCATATATAGTGGTGTTCCGTGTGTTATGAGACGAGGCGGTGCAGCAGGAGAAGGAGACGATGGATGGGTGGGAGGTCTGAACGGTTTGTTGAAATTCAACTACCCCTTCGGCGAAGAGTCGTGATACTCGCCATCAGACATTGGCCAAAAGACAAGAGGTTCAGCTCTCGATTTGCACCGGGAACCTGACTGGCTCCAGAACAGTGGGCTATCTGGGCAGAATTTTCGTGGTCATCACAGAATGTTGCCCGCTAGATTTGCTGCCATGTGTTACTGTGTTGAGTAATTCCAAGCACCTTGCTTGCGGTGTTTGGCTCTGCTGTTGTGCTGTCCCTGCGGTCAGCAACCTCAACACCAAATGAGTTTCATTTCTCTTTTACTCACCAGCACGTCGACTTACACAAGGCAATCCTCTACAATCGGCGCAATTCCTACTGATCCGCATTCACCCTACGCCCTCCGATATTTCTCATCCCTCGCGGCACGAAAACAACTCGCTTATGGTGAGCAACAGCCACCTCTAGAGAGTCCACTCAGCCAGAAACCAGCATTTTTGGAACCATAGGTCACTGATAACCAGCACTTTGTCCTTGCTTGTTCGCCGGTGTTACAGCATATTGTATCACTATTCTTCGTATGCTCAACTGGTTGAGGACAAAGCGAATTCGCCAAACCGATCTTCCCCTATACCTGTGACACAGATTGTCTGGGCTTCCTTCTTTCCTTTCTGTGTGTGCTGCAAGAAATCTGCACAATGCCAAAGCGAAAGGCAAGCTTCAGCAACCAAGACAGCAACGACACCTATGGTACGAAACGTCAGGCAAGAGGTACAAGCTCCCAGCCCACAAGCTCGCAATCCACCAAAAGATCTTCATTGTCTGGCCAGCCTTTGTTAAAGCTAAGCACAACCCCTTTAGAAGGCGACGAAGACATTGTAAGCAGTACCTCCACCAGTCCATTTCTGACACCAACAACAACAAATGATGTCCGTCAACCGCCCACTCTGCAGCAACAATCTGCTCAAGGTGTAGGGATCTCGCGTAATATTGCAGCAAGAGCTTTTTCTCCCAACCCAACCACGGACAGATTTGCAGATCCTTCATCAGCTTACTCTGCTCTGAGTGCCCCTTATCCAGGATACACCTTTGCGGCCTCAGGTATACTGCCAAGTAATTCTGCGAACAACGCTGGGGCAGAGGGAAGTGCTCCACAGATGACATGTAAGCATTTTCTATTGACATAACCTAACCTTTTTGCTAACATTTCCTAAAGATCAAACCTATCAAACCCTTCTAAGAAACCTTGGCCACGTCAAGGGAACACCCGGCCCAGCTAGAAACACACCCGGACATGTCAATCTTCCAGGAAACAACCTAGGTAGATTTCTTATTCCGTGAAGCCCCTTTTGAGCACACTAACCAGCTACTTGCAGGACCCCGCTTCGACAGGAAAACAGATTTCAGAATGGATCAAGCTGAGTGGTCAGTCGATAACCTACCTGACATACTATACGTTTTTGAGTCACCAGACGACTATTATCACGCAAACATGCTGAGGGAGCCTCCACTCAAGCCCTACACTGTTCATGGTGTGACAGTACGTGATATACCAATTCTGCCAGACCGTATTTCTCCCGATCCTGAGGGCTGGCTCTATGAGTGTTGGTGTCGATTTGATCCTCGCATCAACTATAAGCGGGATATTGAGCCAAGGATCTGTCCAGATCAGCGCCCTGATTATCCAACCAGATTCTCGCAGTCCCGCCTTCGATTCCGGCAGGATTGCCATTTGTTGGCGTGGGCAGTCAAGGGGAAACACTATGACAAAGATAGGAATACAATCATAAATGTTGCAACGAATAATGATGTTGATGTCATGGCAACAAACTCAACCAGAGGCCTGACATGGGGCTTGGCCGATCCCACGAAAGGCAAGGATAGCAGACGTATTCCTATTCCAGATCCAATACGACCAAAGAACACTCGGGATACCGGTCCACCTATGAGGGGTGTTCTCTCTGCCTCAGAAAGCAATAGAATTATCCACAAAGGAGTAGCAGCACCGCGGGCCCCTGAGCACCATCCAGTGGCAAGGACAGCTGCTCCAAAGGTGCGGCCAAGATATAAAGCCAGTGTACAGCAGCCGGCAAGAGTCACCTTGGGCAAGGAAATGTCTGACACCGATGCTCAAGCTCAGAAGAGCGCAACATCGGTCAGGGAGACGCCCCCCGTCATAGTAGAGGTAAGGGAACCGGGTCTCCTTCACTGTGACTCAAATATGGACTTTCTCAATAAAGATAAGTTTGCTGATCCAACCTCGCAGCAAGTAAAATCTACGCCCGTCCGGCCCACAGAATACAACTTTGAACAGAAAGCCAAGATTCTTCACCAAGCAGCCAACGAAGCAGTCATGAACCACGTCGGCTTACCAAGCCAGGCGACCACCATAACAACAAACAAGCTAGTCGAAGACTTCTACCAGCGAGACAACATCCAACTATTGGACACGACTGGGAATGAGTGGGAGAGCACCAGGTTGGACTATATCGAATTTTATGGTCGGGTGGATTACAACCCAATACACTTTCACGAGTACTTTCCTCGACTAATGGAGGCTGTCAAAGGGTACATTTGGACCATGCTTAAGAGGTCATCGAAAACGTCACGCAAGACATCCTGGCCGGATAGCCGCATGCCTGAGGAACGGGAATTGTATGAGAAAGTGTGGAATTTTGAGAGACGGAGGTGGAATTGGTATGCGAGGTTTGGCTCAGGGATAGAGCGGTTCTGAGAGTATGAGATAAGGATTGGTTGTGTGGGCTTTTGGTCAGCTGTGAATTGTTAAAGCATGACCTGATCAAGAGATGTGCATTTGTGTTTTTAGTAATGCGGGCGTTTGGTTTGTACAGGGTGTTCTGGCCTGCACTCTTTGAGATACCCAATACAAAAGAGCTTGGGTAGATGGAGGTTGGCTACGAAATCGTCAATAAGAGAATTTTTTCGCAGCAGCAGCATGGATTTAATTTGGCAATGCTAATCATGGCTACTCCCGGAACACCAGATGATTCATAGTGTTTCTTTTATTTTCATTCCTTTGACATGCAGATCTCTACTCGACTTCAAATTGCCCTCTACTACGAGAGGGGCCTGAAGTAATGTTACTACGTAGTACGTAGTCTGGCATTAAGAGCAACTAGTTCTTATTACGACAACCTAGACATCTACCTTTTTCAGGCATAGCTGTTCTGTACAGAGAGGGTTTACAAGTAAAGATACTAGCGTTGAGCTAATATTATGTAGTACTTCAGGCCCCCCCTAGTAGGCCTTACAAAACCTGCTCACTTTCTCTTTTCTGATTCTTTGTCCACAATTCCAGTATACTTAAATAGGGCAGACCGCCCACCAATGGTCCTGATGCTGTATAAAGAGTAAATGTAAATGTGTGAGTTGATAGTCTGTTGCATGGCAAGTGACCATAATACTACAGAAACGAAAGGCACACTAAGATACAGCGTAGAATTGAGTATGGGCTCTGTTGATCATTTGATCCAAACCGGGGATGGGCCACATCCGTATCTCCATTAAGTTAAGATGACAATCAAAAAGCCTCACAGTCTCTTTTATGTCGCTCAGCATGGTCACACTACATATTGGCATGCCGATTGGTCAGAAGTTGTGACCTGAATATTGCGTGACGGTTTTCACATTGACGGCCAATCCTATTGAGACGGGATCATCCCAACCTGCTCTCCTGAAAACGATGTTGGTGGAATGTGGCTTGCTCCGTCAACGTCAGCTCCGCTCTACTAATGCATTCTCCATGTCCTCCTGCACTTTTCTTGTTTCATCTCACTTTCATTCAGCCTTCGACAATGAGATCACTGATGCAATTACTTGTTTTCTGGTCACTAGGCGATTGATGTTTCATTGAAGCTCATCAGCATTAGGAGCTGCTTAGCGATGTGACCCTGAAGAAGCACGGAATCAAGCAAATACACCCAAGGCATCAAGATTTGAGTACTAGTCTCTATGGGTACGTTGTAGCGACGACGAGTGAAACCTAACATAAAGATCTACGCTCGGCAGGACCCCGTCATGAGAATGATATTATTGAGATCTTGAGGCAAGCGAGTGCCTCTGGTGAATACATGGCTCCTGAGTTCTCGACTAGATTCAGTAAACGACGCTGAAGGAAATAATTGGTCACAAAACATTGGAAGCTGAAACTGTGTCGAAGAAATATCTGACACCACGAACCCACAATATATCATCTATTAACGTCGAGTACTTAAGATCTACCACACCTTGTCAAGACCATGCAAAAGATGAAGAAGTTGTACATACCTAACGGTCTGATGAGTGCGAAGGGTGGTGATTGGCAAAGTATTCATTGCTACTCTTTCCTGTTACGGGTAGGGCAGTATACGGACTTTCTTGCCAAAACCTGAGAGAAGCAGGACCTGAGGCAGGGCCGGTACGAAAGTCAGCCCGGAAGTTTCGTGTTTTTCGTTCAAGGATGGAGATTGAGGGCATTGCTGGATATGAAAACGAACAGAAAAGCGACATAAGGCAACAGCTTATCAGCATGAAGGAGATAGCAGGAGGAGGCTCCCAAGATAATCAGAGCTAACACGAATAGGGGGCTTGTATCGACTGGTGCCAGACCATGGTCCAACAAGAGGTCGCTTCCCACCATGATTCGGATTATTCCACAAGTAGTCATGAGTCAAGCCCATTCCATCTCGTGGTGAGATGCCCACTTTGCAGGACGATGTTGTCGACTATAACTGCAGCTTGCCAGGTTTACAGTCCTTACGAGAGCTCAGGACCACGAACTCAACTGGGAGCACAACTCTCATGCCAAGACTTCTGGAAGCTGTACAGCTGCGGTGAGTGGCTCCACTTTACTAGGCTGGCATCATGCTGCTGGTCGACTTCTTCAGGGCAAACCCAGATAGCTACTTCGGCATCTCAGGATATCAAGTGCTGGCTCACCATTACAGCTCAGAGGTAACAAATTAACCGTGGAAGACTCTAACCTCCTTTCCAAGGCAAGCGACAAAGTTTATTCAAGTCGGATGCAAATTCACTGCTGTCATGTGTTATCAAATGTCGCCTTTTTGTTCGCTTTCCTGCCTTTTTCTGCTTCATCTTTTGCACCCTGGCAGACTGCGCGCTTTGCCTTACAAGGCAGGATTTATTGCCTGACAAGTGACTTCGTACAAACACAGCCTGTTGACGAAAGTATAGCCAGCATTTGCTACTCTATGAATACGGATACAGGACTTTTGTTGCAATGCTTCGACTTCTGCACGCATTGGCTCGGACTACACGGGACGGCCGAAATTTGCGTGGTCATCCGTTCTTGGCCTTTGGTCCACAGAAAATAAGGCAACCACTACATCTTCTTGTGATACTTGCTCCCCTACGCGGACGTTACAATACGAATGTTGCAGCGAGCTGTGGATATTGTGCTTAGACACGATTATCTCAACGGCCAAACTTTCCCCACATCTTCGTATGTGTCCCTGTTAACAGCTGATCTGGGTAGGGTGGACTTGTGTAAGGACTCTTGTGTCATTTGGTTGCGATTACCTCTCTAGGAGCTGCCCATGGAAACTACCATCTACTTTTGCCGACGACACGCAAGGACGACGTCCTCGACCAGGTCAGATCACTCTATTCCGGCTTGTTGCCACCGGTCCTGCCCCTATGACTGGAGTTGGCTTGAGCGAGATACCCATGCGATTATGGCAGGCAGGTCGACCCCGATTGTTATGCTACAAGTGGTTTCAGTACTTTTGTTGAGGGTACTTTTGATGCCTGGGTACTTTTGGCGCTTGCGTGGTCCTCTCACGCTCCCATGTCCATTGATCGTCCAGGTTCCGGAATATCGCATTACTGCTCGTGCTGCGACTCGTCCTACCACGGTATGTATTCTTGTTTAAAGTTGGCAGTTTGTCATTCAGATAAATGGGACGACACCCTTCTGCTCTCCCTTCCAATCTTGCAGATTTATCCTAAACACGTTCTCTTGCCGGACACATATCCCAGTTACTTCCTCAGAATGCCCTCCGCAACACATTGGAAATGTCACCACTGTCACCAAGTCTTTATTATCACTGGCTATGTGGAGTGCACCCTTTGTCACCATCGCAAATGTGATTTATGCACCTATTTTACAGTACGAGCACGATCAAGCAACCATTATGCCATCTCTTCCTCATCGTGCGGAACTCCTACATCGCATTACAGCCATGGCTTGTACTCAGACTCGAGTACCGCATCTCAGAGTCCGCTGTACCGTAACACCTCTTCCCAACTCGCCAACACATATACAGGGACAGCCTCGGCTCCAAGATCGTCTGTGGGCACCGATATCTACTCCTGCTGTCAATGCACATCGGCAGGACCGCAAGTCTGGCAGCATAATAGGCTGTGCTCCGAATGTCGCCATGAGGCCTGTCGCAACTGCTACTGGTCTAAAGGAGTAGCGACGAGTATTCAACAACATAGAATCGTCTGAAGGGTACTAGAGCATTAACTCGTCCTGATCACAACTTACTGACTAGAGCTTAGGAGCTTTCACTCATAGCCCTATAGTGGAGATTCGATACATGGTGCACAAGGGTGTTGAATTGGTCTTGGTTGGGGGCAATGCTCTGCAAGGTATACACCACTGATTGTCATGATCCGTTGTCCTTCCGCGGATTTACTTACCCTGCAGAAGGGCAGTGAGTGTTGAGAGCCATTGGTGCAACCTTGGTGGGAGATGTCAGGCCTTGCTGGCGGAGCAAATACGCTAAGCAAATTTCATGAGTTGTTCTGCGGGTGTTAAGTATGCCTTAGGCTTTGGCCCTTCACAATTTCACAATACCAGTCCGCCATATCATCTATTTCCGAACTTATTCTTGCTCGAGACAATGCTTTCATCCCCAGCTTTCTACTTTTCTGCTTTATTTGGGTCCTCTTTCCCTAGATTGTTTGTACAAGTTGAAGGCTGCTACGTATCGCCAAGCCAGTGCCTGAGGCGAAGATAAGGCAACCACTGCCAGCCTAGATGAGACAACAAGGCAGCTCCAAATTGCTGAAACAAAAATATCTAAAATACCTCAAACTCATCCTGTGAATCTCTCCAAGATCACGAGATTGCGTTGTTGCAATATATGATTTCCACCGCTCATTACAGGCTTGTCCACCAAGCATCGGGTACGTTCGGACGCTCGAAGGAGATCCTCCAACAACAATGTGGCTGTGGGCAGAAGGCATCTAGTATCCACAACACTAGATTCCGAACAGTCATTTCTCGCTTCACTGGCTCTGCCTGGCCACGAACTAAGTGTCAAATCTGCTCCGCCGCCCTCGAATGGGCAATGTTTGGGGCTGTGACTTGCTGTCCGTCTTGATTGTCTACATCATGATGTTTGCAGAAGATGTACTTGTACCTGTCCCTGTTCATACTATAGGAAAGGTACCGGGTGGCATAATCCTTTTCTTGCCCCAAGCTCCTGCTTGAGAGTGAATCTTGATGACGCTGGATGGAGCAATCTTAATCCAGATGGGATGCCCTATCATCAAATGCTCTCTTCACACAGCAGTGACGCTTGCGGACTTATGGCCGTGTCCGAGACTGACTTCCGAAACCATTTTTCGTTGACAATGTCTCTGTAATTTTATTATTATCAACTTTTTAGTTGCCTTCTGCCTCGTTCATAGTGAGGATGTCCTTTTTGGAGCTACCGTGGTTTTCTCTCCTGTCTCAGGCATTCAATGTGGTTTCTGGCCGGGGTCTTATGAAGCTTCAAAAGGAGATCGAAATCCGCCATGAACCATCTTCTCCTTTCCAAATCAGAAACACTCATCACCCTCTAGCCTTCAATTTGCTCCACCTCTCCGACTTCAGCCATACCTACAGAAAGCTCTATCAACTCTGCAAGATTGCAATCTGAAAAGGAATTTCCCTTTTCCAGCATGTCTCCTGAGAGCGCCATGTCATCTCCAGAAATGCCGGATCCTCTCCCTTCGCCATCAGATACATGTCCCCGTCGGTTTTCGGTCAATCAAGCGACGTGTGGTGAACCTATAAGCAGGGGCAGAGAAACAATCTACTACTATTGTTGTAGCTGTGGCCACGGCCCACAGGTGCATGTTATGAATCCACAGTGCAGCTATTGCTCCCATCGTTCCTGTCCATCTTGCACATACGAGAAGTGGTAGTCAAAACGCACTACGCTGTGAGCTATTCATAACACTTTGTCGCTCATCTTTGATCTCTCTGACAATGATACAGGCGACATTCGATGCCATCTTCTTACCGCCTTCTTTCCTGCACTCTCCGCCTCTCAGCATAGCCCTTAGACGCACATGAGATTGGTCCAGGCAATGTTCTCAGTTGGTTGAATTTATCTCCGGCGATTCACTTTCGGCGTTTTTTTCAATGATTAGTTAGTGGTAAGCGCTGTTTTGGAGACGAAAGATCTCGCCTTTTCCTAACATAACCTCTCGGCTGCTTCATGTGTATGATTATGGATGAGAGGTTTCTATGTCTTCTGCATGGCCGATACTTCTAAGAGGTATGGAAAAGTTGGGAGGGGGTTGTCGTCATTTCTGAACTAGAGTAGGCGCATATATTTTGTTCATTTCCTACTGGGACAATTGTCTCACTCTGTCGCTAAATGAAATCATGCAAAGATGTTCATCCTGTCTGCAATTTACCACATCTCCATTGGGCGCAAGAAATTGGAGTACTGCGCCTCCATGAGACGTAGCACGGACAACGAAGGGACAAGGGCATCCTCGTTGTAATATGCTTCTGAAGACTTCGAAGGTATGTTGAGGGATGATTTAGCCCGAGAGAGCCTAGTCTGTACTAGTTACAGGACAGAGATCTTTTGTGTTACATCAACGAATCGGCGGCGTCAATGCTACGCTACTACATACACTCTTCCGCCAACTGCCAACTGCCAGCTACCCCCTAGTACGTTAATATGATGGCTGCCTGTGCCAGGCTGAAAACTGGAGCTGTCAACCTTGCCTCAGACATCTGCAGACCTTTCGTGATGTTTGTCACATGCTATGGCATTATTGTTGTGATATTGACTACGATAGCACTGAATTGCAGCTGCGATCGTCGACAAGGTTAGTCGACACGAAATGCAGGTACAGATCCGGCATCGAGCTCCCAAGCAGAGGACGAGGGCGCGTCTCACTACTCGACTGTCAAGAGCCACCTGATACGTTTTCCGGAAGATGTCGATGCAAAGGTGCTGAGGCCGAAAATTCACAATAGTACCCATGGGCACTGCCTCTGTCTGCCTTCTTGCATTGAGAGTTACTCCCGAAAGCCTGCCTCATCCTAGCCTCCTGAATTTCAACGATTTTGAGATGACTGAGGGTAAGTTGCTTAGATTAAAGGCTGGCCTTAAGAATACCAGCTAGGTCAGGCCTTCCCCCATTAATTTGAATGTTATAACCCCGGCTCGGCCAGCTCCGAACCAAACCCAACAATAATGACAGGGATTGTGTGTTAAGACAAGCTGGCAAAGCTTGTTGCATTCTGTCTAGTATTGGCAGGAGTTGCTAAAGCTCCAAATGCGGTGGCAGCTACACGTGCTACGATGCATGGCCTTCGAAGCCGAAGGGGCAGTAAACTGGCAGTACTACTAGTACGTAAGGAATGTGGCATGACGTATTGCCAAGGGAAAGTAATTTTGATCTTGGGGTCTAGTTTACTGTGACTTCAAAGTTACTCCAACAAATGACCAGATCTCCATCTATGTATATCCGATATTGTCTCCTTTACCATGTCTTTCTGCCTAGCCATAATCACCAGCAAAACCCGGACGTCAAAGTGAGCATATGTTGATGCGCAGTTCGGGCACCAATTCTTAGGGCAAAGCGGGTTTCACGGATAGAAGGGCAGTGCTTTGCACAGAGCTCCTTTCATTTCACCACCACTTTGTCTCACCGTTCCGGCGAGACGATTTGCTATCATGTGTTGACTGTTGCTACCTCAGTCCTCAGCCCTCAGCCCACCTCTCCACCTTCTCCAGGCAAGCTACCAGCAAGCTGAAAAACCACTGTTGCTGTCTTCTGGATCTCATCGATAAGTCGTACAACCAACAAAAATGGTCTGATTACTGTCTCTTCCTGAGTCCCTCCATTGTTTCACCCGTCAGTTGATCCTCAGTACATCAGAGTAGTTCGTCCAGGCCATGGATGCAGATCCTTAGCGGACAATCTGTCAAGTCGCTCGTACGATGCACGGCTGCCTCGGGTGGGATCCTGAAGTTTAAATGACTTCGGCCATTTTCGATCTTGCATATGCATATGTACGATTGACTCATCACAGTGGGTACTCATGCTCTGCATCGCTGATCTCAACTCAGCCTGAGCCTTCCGTTGCTTCCTTCCCATTCGCTTTCGTCGGTGTTTTGCATTCTTGCTACTTACTTTCCCTTAGATTCCTTCTGTTGGGCTCACCGCCTCCCGTCAGCAGTCTTGGCCTCTGCGATCAGTCGATGTTGCTCTACCTCCCACTCTACTATTCGCTCTTTCCTCCTTTTCATCGCCTCCCTGGGGGTCACATGCCTGACCCCTTTCGCAAAGATATCACCTCTAATGAAAGGGCCATCAACAGGGTTCTTGATACGAAAACCACGGCTGCTTTGACTAGAAGGCGTTAGATGACACTCTGAAGTTGGTCCATTCAGCTCTTGCTCCATAAAATAGCACGTCGCGTGGATTGGGGCTTTCAGGAGCCACAACAAGCCGTGGGCGGTGCCCGGACGCCCCTCAGGAGGCAAAGACGCCATACCTGATACCCCTGGCCAGTGGCCCTGAGCGGTTTGTCTATCTCGTTCCATGTAGAAAGAGAAAGAGATGTACGAGGCTTGGCTCCCTAGAGTGTGGAAATTGCGTAGGCTTACGAGCAACTTGAGCAAAAGTTGGAAGGGCCCACGCCTTGAAGGCTGAGCATGTATGAATGGAGGGACTCAGCATACCTTGTACAGCGTAAGGTCCTCTCCAAATTCTCAGTTCTGGTCAGCAGTGAAACTTTCTAGATACGTTCTTAGTTACTCAGTGCCTCTCCTCTGTTGATCTCTCATCTCATCTCATCTCTCAGATCTTTGCATTGTACAGAATGCTCTGCTTCTCTTGGTGTGTCTGTACTTTGCATCAACGAAATCTCGGAGACCATTCTTTCAACAGCAGAAGATACTGCAGACGAGCAGTAGCAGTAGCCAGTTAGCAGTAGCAGTAGCAGTAGCAGTAGCAGTAGCAGTAGCCGTAGCAGTAGCAGTAGCAGTAGCCGTAGCAGTAGCAGCAGTAGCAGCAACAACATAGAGATCAATCCTCCCAACTCAATTTCAACTCAGATGAAGACATCTCCCAGGAATAGAACACCCCATCATGTTTCATGAAAAAAATACACAACTCTTCTGCTCGATATAAATTGCCATCTTCACTCTCCGCCTCCCCCTTCCCCCATTTCCCCCTTTGTCTTGCCGAAGTGTACACTGCTACCACCATAGGAACTACCCCGTATCGAATTCCAAGTAATCCTATTCCCTTCCTCATCTACAAATCCAACCGACTTAGAAGTATACAAAGTCTAACTAGAGCCACAATGATCGATCGGGCAGATGGGAAAGTGATGAACTCCTGAGTCTCCGGGACCGCGTCACTCTCTCTCTCTCTCTCTCTCTCTCTCGCGCGCGCGCTTGAAAAGGGGTGACACGGACTCCTGTTCCGAACACCTTTTCCCGCTGCAGATGCCATGGCGAGGAAAGTGAAGAGTAGTCTATGGTTGGTATTGGTAGGGAGAAAGGGGGCGGGACATGTTCACCTGAATGTGCGAATGGAAGGGGGGGCATCTTTTGCTTGGTTGTCGTTGGTATCGGATGTGATTCAGCTAGTGTTCTCCAATTGACATGTGGTCTTGGCCGACGGCAGGTTGATTGTCTCGTGGCAATGGTATAGAATGACTGGTACTTGGAAATGGCTGGTTGAAGGCATCAGGTCAAAGGTGGCGAGGATGGATTTCTTAATGACAGAGTCTCTGCGAGAAAGTTACATAGTTGGCGCAGGAAGTAGAGAAAGAAGCCGCTTGTTGACAGTGGAAGACTCATCGGATTAGACTAAAGTAAGCTCAGGTATAAACAATCCTAGCTGGCTCTCCGGCTACTCATTATTGTAAGCCTGCCCCCTGCCCAGATTCGATCGGCATATGTGACAGCAAGGCTCATGATACACTGCTGTACAAGAGAAGCTCCTCTGCAGAGATGTCTGACTCCAATGCGCAATGCAGATGCAAGACCATGCCCACCCATTGACCAGGCGCGACCCTAGGGGGAAACGCCGGGAACCTGATGCATTGTTTGGAACTTTCCACGATTGGAACAAGGTTTGGAGGGATGACGAAAAGTGATTATGACAAGGTTAACGGAGCTCATTGATGCCCCATGTGAAGAACTTTTTCTCTGAGAATTGCGGTATTGACGGCTAGAGGAAAGAGAAGAAGGTATGATGGGCAATAGCCTACGATTGCGATGAAGCAGAAGTGGGTGTACTCAGCTCTTCGGAAAAGCGTCTACGATAAGCTGCCAGAGCACTGGCAACCAGGTGGAAGTCTTTGACTCCCTTGCTTCGAAGATCAGCAATGACCTGGCGAAGGCCTGCGACCCAGCGTTCGTGCTCTGCTTTGGTTTTTAGGTTGTTAGCAGTGCTCATCTGAGCCAGGATTTTATCATCTGTCACCAAAATTGATTAGTTTGTTTTCATACAACGAGCAGAACGTGTATCGAGGAGGACATTGCGGCCAGCTAATGTTACGAAAATGCTCATATGATCTTTTGCACGCACCAGTCAATGCAACCTGGCGAAAGTGCTGCTCTTCGCAAGCCGGGTCTTGACATGTCTCTCCCGCAAGCTCTGTTGGACAGAATGGCTTTCTAGGGTCGATATTGTTGCTGAATGTCATGGACTTGTAACCACTTGAAACAACCTCTGGGAAATGGTCGTGATATCGGAAGTTCCTGAAATATTTTCTCGGCGTTTCATAGGGAGTGAAATGGGACGACGACGTTGGGATCTGTAGAACGACTAATGTTAGCTAATGGCGGTGTCAAGGTTGTATCAAGGTTATAACACGTACCTTGGATTTGCTTTCGCCCTCCTGAGACTGTGACATGATCTGTGGCTTGTTAATAGTGTCTGGCTCGGTTAGCTGCATACCGTCTTCAGCGTCATCGACCAAGATCGAATTATCTGGCTGTTCAGTAATTGGACTTGTAGGTTGCGTCGGGCCTCTGGCAACAGGCTGGTCGAATTCAACTGGCTTGGTGACCTCATCTGGCCTTGAGACCTGCAGTTCGGCTACACCGATAGGTTCTGCCACATCCGCGGGCTCGTAGAGTTCAGAGTCATTATCAGGCTTATCGTCATCCATGTGATCTGGCTCTGCAGGTTCGTAATCTTCGGAAGCGCTATCTGACATGCTTATGCTGCCATCCTCGTCAATGATATTAGATTCGACATTGTCCATGCCTCCGTCATCTCCATTTCTGTCCTCATGTGAAGGAAAGGGGGATTCAAGGTTTGTTTGATCCGTTTCGATAACTCGCATTGCAGGAGACTCGCTTTGTTGCGGCACCGTCACCATCTCGATAGCATCATCCATTGGTCTGCCGAGCGGATCTTCCTGAGCTTCCTGAACTTCCTGAACTCCCTGAACTTCCCTCAATGCATCCGTGTTACCTCGGAGGGAGGTAACGGTGCGCCCAGTTGATGCCATTTTCTTGTCGGCGCCATCCTCAGTAGAAGGCCGAGAGCCGATGTCAAAGTCTGGCGATGAAGGTCGCGAAACAGCTTCAACAGGTAATTGTTCTTGTGAAAGGGCACGATCAGTGTTGGCTGGAGGAGTGCCACCGACAACTGAGTTTGGTGCATCTTTGTGTTTTCGCAGTAAGGTATCTAATGCTGCTCGGTCCCTTGAACCGGGGCCACCCTCCATGTCACTGTCCACATTAGATTGCGATTCCTCGTAAACGTCTTCACCGTTGAGTTCAGCATGAAGTTGTGCTTCCAGCAATTTAGACTCTGCTAGGATTTCCGCCTCACGTCTTTCTGCTTCTCGTTTCAACTCCGCCAGTTTGGCGCGCTTCTCGGCTAGCTGAGCTTGACGAAGCCCTATATCAGCAGCATTTGGAGTTCCTTCTCTTGTAGCTTTTCGCCTCAGGAGCTGTTGTCGCAGATCTTCCACCCTGATAGGCTCCTTGATGGCATAGAGTGGTGTAGATGGTGTGCTAGGCAATTCTTCTGGTCTTGATGCCGTTAGGACTGGAGATTGAATTGCATCACGGGGTGCTTCTGGATCGACAGCGACAGGCGGTCTTGCATGCCCTGGGCTTGACGGCTGCACTGATCTAGCAAGTGACGTTCTTATCACAGGCACAGCAGGCTTCCCACCTATCTTGAGCGAATTTACATTGGTTGCGTTTTGCTTGGCTTTCCGTCTTTCCTCCATTTCAGCAATTTTCTTCCGCATCAGCTCAATCTCCTGGTGTTTCGCTTTCCAGAGCTCTTCTTTGCCTCTGTCTCTTCCAGGTGTTTGAACAGCGGTAGGAGTAGGGGTATTAATGACGCTAGTGGCATGTCTAGCCGGGTTAGGAGAAGGAATATCAGTCAAAGGAGGCAGATTCCGTATATTGTTGTGCCGGACAGATGTAGCAGGTACAATGTCGCTCTGATGAGTCTGTTTCTCCTCATCAGATTCCTCATCGAGCTCCATTTCAACGTCTTCGACTTCTCCCTCACTTTCTGTTGCGCTAAGAACGATCTCAACCTTGTCGTGGGATTCTTTACGACCGAACGGGCGTTTGAGGGATGGCCTTGACTCGTCAAAGGAGTCCGACGCTAATGGTCGTTTCTGAGGGAGGCGTACCGGGATGGTGTGCCCACCGGGGGATTGAACATAATTGGTCTCAAGTTCTGCAGAGGTGTCCTGACTGACAGAGGTCGCAGTGGAGTGCATGCTGATTGGTTCATCGACCTTCCCCATTATTGGAGGTTCACTGGCCTCATTCAAGCTCTGGAGATCGTCGGGATGTGGTGCAGTGGTCATGAAGAGCCCTGGGATATGTGATTGAGGTCCATCTGACCGGATTTCAGCTGCAAGGTCATTAGATCCTGGTTTGGGAGGGTATGCTGCATGTTGAGGAGTAGATGAAGCTGGGGACGAAGGTACAGAAACTGCCTTTGGCGTGCCCTGGGCTTGAGATTTAGCCAACGCTTCTCTCTTAAGTGCCTCCATTTTCTGTCGAATTAATTCAGTCTGAGCTTTGTTTTTGGGTTTGATCAGGGGCTCAGATGATGGCAAAGGTGGTTTGTCAGGTAGAGAAAGTGGCTTCGGGGTAGCATCCACTATGGACGGAGACCTCGAATTTTCCGCTGGGAGGTCTGGTTGCTTCTCAACAGCAGGACGGCCTGCTATCGTTCGGCCGGTCTTAGCTGCCAGTAGCTGGGCGATGCGATCCTTTCTCTCCATAGCCACAGTCGATGAAGGTTGAGTACCAGAAGCCTTCTCGATATTCACTAGAACCGCTGGGGAGGGCTTGGGAGAGTCTGAAACACCTAGAATCGCCTGAACCTGAGACGCAGAGCTCACCGGTATCGAGCTCGGATTGTGGTCTGCTGTGTTGAAGGCTTGCTCTGTACCTTGACTAGTATTACGAGGCGAACCCCCTGCAAGTTCTTTGGACGTTTGAGAATACTTCAGCGCGACATTTTTAGCAACAGCGACTTTTTGTTCCACCACAACAGGAGTTAGAGGGGGTTTTTCAATGATGTGTTCACCAAGATCTTCATACAAGTGCTCAAGGATGTATGGATCGACTCCTTCTCCCACCAATTCCTTGTATCTAATGTTATGCCGCTCAAGCGAGCGTAGAGCGTCTTTGGCTTCCTCGCGAAGATAGTTGGTGACACTCCCATTTTGTTTCGTCGCTGCAGGTGTGTAGCTTTCAGCGCCGTCCAGAGTGTTTGGTAAAGGATCAGTCAGACGCACGTCTGGCTCTTCTGGATCCCGCGTTGAAGCGGATGGTGGATTGTAAGCTGAGAACCGGTCAGCCTGGATCAACAGATGTGTGGCTCCTAGAACCTACAGGAAATACTATCGCTGTCGGCAGATGGCACTTTGTCCTCCTCGACTTCCGTTTGACGTTGAAAGACGTTGCCCATATCTGCTCCAGGGAAGACAGGTCGTGAGGCATCAAGAATTTCTTCGATGATAGGTTTAATAGTGTTAGGTTTCGAATGAGCAATAAAGGTAACAGGTTGAGCTGCTCCGTGATTATCTCGTCAGTCGTCGCTTGTAAAGATATGACAATTTATCAGAACGTACCAGCTAAGCTTGTGTCTTCCTGGGGAGAGTCTACATTCCGAGGCATCATGGACAAAAATGTCTGGTCTTTCCTAAGGGACTGGCTAGGTTCTACTATACGCTCGGTAAAATTGGCGGCCAGTTCACCGTCACTCAGTTCACCTTCCTCCCTACTAACAACATAAGTGTTTTGCTGATAGTTGGGAGAAGACTGAGTACTAGGTAAAGGTGGTGGGTTATATTGTTGCGTATGTGAGCTTTTTGTCAGAACAGTATTAGGAGGCGTAAATGTGGCGGCGAAATTTGGTTGTGGAGGTGGAAACTGAGAAAAGCCAAGATGAGGGATAGGGACTGGGGGGTAAGGTGGAGGTGGTAGATTCGAGTTTGCAAATTGCTTGAAGAAGTCTGCAGAGACTTGAAAGGGCGGAGGTGGGAGGTGTGGAGGAGTAGAGTGGGCGGCGCTCGAGGTTGTCGCGTTCGCCAGAAAACTCTGGTTATTTACACCTGGAGTTGGATATGTTGCAGTTGGAACGCTGTAACCGCCTCCATTTGGAGGAGGTGGAAGGTCTCCTCTCGACAGCGTCTGGAGGCCGCCATGTTGCGATCCAGCATCTGCAAAGTTGTATCCCGTGTATGCGCCACCAAAGGACGGCGTAGCAGGATGGGGATTCGACATGTTTACAGCTCTCCGGATGGTACCAGTTCGAGCTCAGATTGCCATCATCGCAGCAAAGTCGTTACCTGACGGGCCAGACGAAATGTACGTGAACGATCTACACTTGCGTGCATGCTCATCGATAATTACTCCACGGTGGAGGGCTGCGCTCAGTGATGTGATAGCGCAGTTGAATTCCGTCAAGACAGTAGCGATCGAAGAAGCGAGGCGACTGCTACTTCTGCCACTGAGATATGTGCTCAACGCGGGTGGCAGACAGTGACAGCAATTGCAAGCCGTGATGTGGCTGATGAGAGTTGGGAGGACGCTGGCAAATCTCCACAAGAGATGGCAGCCATGAAAATGGCAAGTGCTGCTAACTTTACATGGCTAGAGTCATTCGATCATCGCTCCTTCTGCCACGACGCGCTAACAATCCTTGGCAAAGTAGCACGCTATTCCTCAAACGTGCTGAATATCAACAATGCTTCTTGAACCATCCTAAGGTTGCTCGTGCGCATTGATGCAGCTTCTATTTAGCCACCACCTGACACTGCTCGGCTGTGGTAAGACTGTTGCTTGGTCTGTAATCTCTGGTTGCCCTGGAAGACATTGCCCGAACGGCGAACTATGATCCCATGAAGCTTGGACAGCAAGACCGCATTCTGGAAAATTTTGGCCTCTGATCTTCATTATGACGACTAATACACTCAATGGCTCCTCTTTGCGACGAAATCCTTTCAGTAGAGGCTCGCTGTCGCCCTCTTCGATGCCTTCTCCGCAGGCTTCGGTGGCCGCCCGGCCTAAATCGATGATACTCAACTCTCCTCCCACCCAGAGTACTGGCCATTCAAGAAACCAATCTTTTTCTCCTTCGGGATCTTCGCCTTCTATATCACTACACCGGCGTCCATACACTACAACAAGCCGAAATAGCTCAACGAGCACATTTGCACCGCAGTTCATTAAAACAGAATCCATGAAGCAGGGAAGCGAAAAAGTGGACGGTATTGAGGGCGAGAACGACTTTTCTGGGAAGCGATATGTGTGGTTAGGGGACCCCGAGACAGCCTTTATCCGAGGCTGGGTGGCAGCCGACCTTGAAAATGGGAATTTCATGGTTCATTGCGATGACGGAAGCCAACGAGAAGCAAGCCCGGATGCCGTCGACAAAGTCAACCCTGCCAAATTCGACAAAGCGAATGATATGGCCGAATTGACACATCTCAACGAAGCTTCGGTTGTCCACAACCTACATATGCGCTATCAATCCGATCTCATCTATACCTATTCAGGGCTTTTTCTGGTGACGGTGAATCCTTATTGCCCTTTGCCGATATATAGTAATGAATATGTCAAAATGTACAAAGGTCAGAGCAGAGAGGATACACGACCCCATATCTTTGCCATGGCAGATCAGGCTTTCCGGAATCTTGTTGAAGAAGGCATGGACCAGAGCATTCTGGTGACGGGAGAGTCGGGTGCCGGCAAGACAGAGAACACGAAAAAGGTCATCCAGTACTTGACCGCAGTGGCAACCACAGACACACCAAGGGCCAGCCGATCACCGACCAAACAATTCTCAAATCTGTCCCAGCAGATCCTACGTGCTAATCCTATCCTTGAAGCTTTTGGCAATGCCCAAACGGTGCGTAACAACAATTCTTCTCGGTTCGGAAAATTCATCCGCATCGAATTCAGCCGTTCGGGCCAGGTAGCAGGAGCATTCATTGACTGGTACCTGCTGGAGAAGTCGCGAGTAGTCAAGTTGAACTCTCAAGAGCGAACTTACCATGTCTTCTACCAGCTTCTGCAGGGTGCAGACCACAGGATGAAGGACAAATTCCTCTTGTCTGGCATGAACGTAGAAGATTTTGCATACACCCGAGCTGGAAATGACACAATATCCGGGGTCTCTGACAAAGAAGAATGGAGCAGTCTTATCGAAGCTTTCCACATCATGGACTTCTCGGAGCAAGATCAGACAGCCATTCTAAAGACCATAGCTGCGGTCTTGCATCTTGGTAACATCACAGTAACGAAGGAAAGCACTAGAGCCGATCAAGCATCTCTAACTGCAGAAGCCTATGAGGCTGTGGACAAAGCCTGCAAATTGTTAGGAGTACAGTCGGAGCCCTTCGTACAGGGTCTGCTCCATCCGAGAGTCAAAGCCGGCCGCGAATGGGTCGAAAAGGTGCAGACCCCAGAACAGGTCCGGCTGGCCGTCGACGCACTATCAAAGGGTCTATATGAGCGTGGTTTTGGTGACCTGGTCACCAAACTCAATCGGCAGCTCGATCGTGGCGGCATGAGCGGAGATGACACAAAATTTATCGGTGTTCTTGATATTGCCGGTTTCGAGATCTTCGAGGACAACAGCTTTGAACAGCTCTGCATTAATTACACAAACGAGAAGCTGCAGCAATTTTTCAATCACCATATGTTCGTCCTGGAGCAGGAAGAATATGCCCGAGAACAAATCCAATGGCAGTTTATTGACTTTGGGAAAGATTTACAGCCAACGATCGATCTGATAGAATTGCCGAATCCGATAGGTATTTTCTCTTGCCTTGATGAGGACTCCGTCATGCCGAAAGCCACAGATAGATCATTCACCGAGAAACTCCACTCCCTATGGGAGAAGAAGACCCCCAAGTACAAGCCATCACGACTAACACAAGGTTTCATCCTAACACATTACGCTGCTGAGGTAGAATATTCGACTGATGGATGGCTCGACAAGAACAAAGACCCCCTCAACGACAACCTGACGAGGCTACTGGCTGCGTCGACGGACAAACATGTCGCCAAATTGTTCTCGGACTGTGGAGAAGAAGTCGATGACATCAGTAGTCCACGAAGCCGTGTCAAGAAAGGTCTATTCCGTACCGTGGCGCAAAGGCACAAAGAGCAGTTGTCAAGCCTCATGGCTCAATTGCATCAGACACACCCTCATTTCGTGCGCTGTATACTCCCGAATCACAAGAAGCGGCCGAAGCAATTCAATGCACCTCTCGTCTTGGATCAGCTCCGCTGTAACGGTGTGCTTGAAGGGATCCGTATTGCACGAACTGGCTTCCCTAACCGTCTCCCTTTCGCTGAGTTTCGATCTCGCTACGAGCTGCTCTGTCGCAATATGCCCCGAGGATATCTGGAGGGACAGAAGGCGGCCTCGATCATGCTTGACAGACTTGGAGTGGACAAGGCAGTCTACCGCGTTGGCCTGACGAAAGTCTTCTTCCGTGCAGGTGTGCTAGCAGAGCTGGAAGAACAGCGAGATACGCTCATCCGAGAGATCATGTCACGCTTTCAATCCATTGCAAGAGGCTTCACGCAGAGGCGAATCGCATACAAACGTCTTCACCGTGCTGAAGCCGCTCGGATCATACAGCGAAATCTCAATGTATACCTTGATCTTCAGGCGAACCCTTGGTGGAGGCTGTTTATGAAGATGAAGCCTCTGTTAGGCGCAACCCGTACTGCAGGCGAGGTGAAAAAGCGGGACGAGAAGATCCAACAACTGGAAGGCAAAATGCAGCAGAATCTTGCTGAAAAACAACGACTAGAGGAGGAGCGCCGTCGAGCTGATATCGAGGTCCAACGTGTCCAGCAAACCCTGGAGAGTGAACGTGCCCTTGCGCTCGATAAGGAAGAGATCTTCAAACGACTTCAGAACAGGGAGGCGGAGCTCAACGAGAAGTTGGCTGATGCTATTGCTGATCAGGAGACCTTGGAGGACCAGCTAGATGACATGATGGAGGCCAAAAGAAAGGCGGAAGAAGAGCTTGACCTGAGAAGGACGCAGCTTGAGCAAGCTGGCCACATCATAACACGTCTTGAGACTGAGAAGAAAGACCTGCAGCAGGAGATAGAGGAGCTTGACAGCCAGCTGGACGAAGTTGCGAAGAACCACACCGCCGAGGATGGAAGAATCGAAGCTCTTGATCAGGAAATCCGCATGCTAACCAGCCAACTGAGTCTGAAAGACCGCAAGCTCCAGGAGCTGGAGGCGAAACTACTCAAAACAGATCAGGATCTCGACGTCAAGCTGGCCAACACCACGAAAGACCTCAACGTCTCAAAGAAGCAAGTGAAAGACCTACTCGAAGAGAACGGTTCCATCCGTCAGCAGCTCTCGGAGCTTTCTTCAACTTCAACAGGCTACGAAGACCTTGTGCGGCGGAAAGAGTGTGAGCTTGCAACGTTGCGCAGTGACCTCAAGCGCAACGAGTCGGAGAAGAGGTCAATTGATACCGAACGTAACTCCCTCGCAGCTAGACACGACTCGATGCAATCACGTCTTCGTGAGGTACAGGCAGAAATGGATGCCATGAAATCGCAAAAAGCAAATCTCGAGCGGGAAGCATTGGACGCAAAGGTGCTTCTCGAGAGAAGGATCTCGCAAGACATCGAATCTGGTGAAAGCCGCAAAATGTTAGACAAGCAGATCGCAGATCTCAAGAGTGAACTATTTGAGGTACAGGCTGAGCTGAGTAGAGAGAGGCAATCTCGGGATGATGTTCAGATGCTTTTAGATCACAAGTTGACGGAGCTGAAAGACCAATACGAAGATCTCAATGAGTCCAAGATTATCATTGAGAAGGAGATGTATGTTCAGCAGGACACCCTGAGGCGGGCCACGGAAGCGAGGGCTATGGCTGAACAAAATCAGAAGGAGCTGCAGTCTGAACTGATCAAGCTGAGGGAGCGATTCCTGAATGCTGAGAATGCTCGAGCGGAGGCTGACAACGAGCGGGCTCTTTGGAAGCAGAGCCAAGAGCGGCAAGCCGCGCTCGAGCGGGATCTCGAAATGAGAGCCAAGCAGGCTGAGGAGATGGAGGCAGAGAACTCAAGGCTGTCAGTCGAGGTACAGCGGCTTAAGACGGCTATGATGGAATCCGACAATTTCAGGATCCATCACGATCAGCACAAGGAGCGGCTCGAGCGAGAATTGGTGACAGTCAAAGGTCGCTTGACAGCATCGGAGAACGATAATAAAGCGCTCTTAAACAAGATACAGCAGAAGGATCTCGACATTGCACGGACCAATTCAAGGGTGGGCGACAGACAAAAAGTCCGATTGACACAACTGCAAAGTGAAAAGAGCAAGCTTGAAGAAGAAAACAAGAAGCTTTCCCGGCAGGTCAACGATGCCACGCTGTCAATCACGTCTCTTGAAAAGCAGAAAGAGAGGCTTGCCCTCAGTCTCGAAGACCTGAATCACCACATCGCAAGAGAGCACATGACGAGCCGATCCGCTGAGCAAGCTTTTTCCGCTATCAACATGCAACTTGCCAAGGTAAATCGTGACCTCGAATCCGAGCAACAACACCTTTCTGCGTGAGCTAGAATTAAAGCTCATTGCTAGCCAGCAAGACCCCCATTTTTGAGAAAGTGTTCAAGGAGATGAGAGGTTCAACAAGAATGCATTCGTATGCTCGCGTTCATGCAATGGAACCGCCCTGCATGTCCCGCCTTTTCAGATTCACTTTTCGCCATATTTCCCATACATGCTCTGCCAGCCCACAAGCTCACGGGTCAGGACGTGCATCATCTCGCCCGATGCCATGTCCCTGAACTCCCTTTCCGCCTTCTCGCCAAGAACCTGTGCAGCAGACAAACTTGCTTCCACCCCTTTCAATAAAGCCGTAGGCTGCACGTTTCCATGTGCACCACTGCCGCTACTTTGCGTAATGCCGTTGGGCGTTCTGGACCCGCTAGGCCCTGTTGAGGAACCATGACTGTTGTTCTGGCTGCTTTTCTCACCGTTCATCTTGTTCACGAATTCGAGGATAGCGGCCACCCTCCTCTTCATCTCGTTCATACTTGTTCGGTTCGGATGATGGTACTTTGGTCGCGAGCTCCTTCCACTTTCGCCGTTAATTCCATTCGAGAAGCCGTTCATAGCGGTCACCGGTGAAGAGCGTCTGGTAGGACCACGAGAGGTGTCCCGTAAAGGCGTTTCAGCCCCGCCTCCACCCCCGTTGAGAGGCTGATCACGAGTATATTGATTGCGTCCGAGACGACCACGTCGAGCTGGAGGACGCCCGGTTTTGCGGTGGTTGGTGGGTTGATTGGCGCGATGGGAAGGCGTGTCAGGTGCACTTGATTTTTGCGGTCCGTTTGGTACTTGTCCAGCAGTTTTAGAGGGTGATAAAGTAGGTGTTGGTGGTGGAGATTCTAGCACGAGATTTAGTTAGTATGCTATCCCAGAAAAAAATGTTTGGGCTCGGTGTTAAATACCATCTCCACGTCTTCTTTCAGACCTCGCATTTCGCTTGCTTGCTGCCTCAGCTCTTTGTGCAGCAAGGTCTTTCTGGCGGTCACGATGTTCTTTATCGCGTGGGTTCCGGGCTGCTGCACCTCTGGCCCTCTTGACCACGTTGCTACCGTTCGCGGTCGGCTTAGACGAGTCCTCTTCTGAATTGACCTGAGAAGGTGAAGGGGTAACTTTTGAAGGCGGCAGAGAATCTGAGGACGTCCTGCGTCGTTTTGAGTTGGGCTTTCCACTAAGCTCTGTGGTTAGCGATCCTCTCCATCACTAGCGTAACAGCAGAAGCATACTCTTCCGAATCATCACGTGTCCGCTTTCCTAGTGAGCCTGTTTCTCTGCTTTCCTCGATTGCTCTCCTCAACATCTCATCTTCATCGTATGCGGCATCTCGACTATTCATTGTTGCCCGACGTTTCCCGCTCACTGAGCTAGCGCTTTGTCTCGATTTTCCATCCCTTCTTCTAGTTTTATCACGATTTGAGGATGACGAGGACGGTTCAGGGGAAGAGGCCTCAAGAACAGGGAGATATTGTGAGGATCTAGGTCTAGAGGGTATGCTTGTTAGCATTGCAGTTCGAGGAAGAAAAAACACCGTGGCGCAGAGTCGCTCAGATAGTCCAAGGTAGAGCAGGACAGCCATGCAAAGGGCCCTCCAGAGTGAAACATTCTTGGAAAGCACAGCGATGAGACTAGTGATAAAATATTGCTCTTCGCTTACCCGGTGGAGATCCTGTGTATCTTGTGATACTCTGGCTTGCACTCTTCGCAAAAATATTCATCTGGACTCATTGACTCGTCCAGCAAGCCAACGCAGCCGCCGTGCTGCCACACCTGACAATTGTCGCATTGAATGAAAAAGTTGCCTGTATCGTCCAGGAGGCCGTCAGAGCCAGCCGGGATTTTTGGAGCTGTTTCCTCTTTTATTCCTGCTTTTGCGCTGTGAGGGCGGCCACCGTCCCGTGCAAAGGGTGGCGGGCCAGGATACTCAGCATTGCCGCAAATGCAACGTGTCACCTCTTCTGACTCGGCCTCTTCATCCACATCTGGTTGTTGGGCCTTTTTGGTGACCTCCTCCTTTTCATTGGTGTTGCTCCGCTTGCTTCGGCGCGTTGCCGGTGGTTCACCGCGGCCAAGCCGTTCGGCATCCTCGATAGATTCTGAGCTTTGTGTTGCAGAGTCTTGAGGGGATGTAGGCTTATTGTTTGCTCGAGTGTTTCTCTCGGCTCGAGTGAGAGAACTTAGAGATGTGGAAGAATTTGTGTGCGCAGGTGGAGGGGGAGGTTGGGTTGTGCGGGCTCGAGAGGATCTTCGAGGACTCATGGTTTGAGTAGATAACCTCGAATAGTGTCGTGGCTATAGACTTGTTACATTGTTCGCGAAGCGATGAAGGGAATTGCAGGAGTGTAGCAAGGTGTGGTCGCCTCGAGAGCTCCAGGGCGCGTGTGGCTAGGACGATATTGCGCTGTGGGAAGTTGACGGAATTGCTCTTGGTAGATTTAAGCTGTTCAGACAGCGACGGGGAACAGAGCCGATGCAAAGCGAGTGCAGCAATGCCTGTAGGAAATCTACAGTGTGAAAAGATCGTTGTGACAGTGGTGTGAGAAGGGGAACAATGGCCTCGTCCTGGTCCTCACCCAGAACTGCGCTAAATTGGCCGTCATCGGATTCTTCTTCTTCTTCTCCTCTCCCTCAATTTTCCCTTCCCGACCCCGCGTGTCGCCACGATGCTTCAAATCTCTTCTCCAATTTCCCCCTGCCACGATACCATCCGTCTACCGTGGTACGTGAGTCTCATACAGCAATCGAGCTGTCACTTTTAAACTCGTTGTGGAACAGACACTTCATGAAGAGATCGAGCTCAAAGCGGATGATGAAAGTTTAGGAAATGGACTTGTCTTGCTCTGAGCCTAGGCGAGTGTCAAGAAATCGTGGCCGAAGGCACGAACCTCCCCTAAGTATTTCTACTTGCACTCTACCCCCATGATTAACCAAAAGCTCTAAGTCTACCAATTTTGATACTCACCAAGAGCTATTCATCATCCGCCACTTTATCGGATCGCGTGCAGATGCACTTCATATTCTCGATCTACGAATTCCAGCCGTCGTCAATTTCACTGCACTTAACGTCCATTTGTTGAAATCTACCTCGGCCATTCAACGTTCAAGGTACCATACCTCGATACAATAACGATGTAGGTATCAACCTTCTTGCTCCGCTGCGCACTTCAGTTACCGACTTACCCTGGAGTATATCCTGGGCACTCTTTTGGAAGAGTCATTTTGCTGCTAGGCAATATCTCAGGCATTCCCCCACCGCCAAGCTGTCTTCGACGGGTACAATAGTACAGTCTACTCTGTAAAGCAGCTTTCGATATTGCGGTTTAGGACTCTTGAGCGATATCTGTTCATTGTCTGAGAAATAGAACGTGGGCTACTACCTCAGAGAAGTGCGTTAAAGGTGCTGAGTACGGAAGCGATGTAATATGGTTTCGTGTATCAAATGTTTACGCACATGTCTTCATACCATAACGATGAAAACTAAAAACATCACCATATCGTGACGAAGTCTGTTTCGAATGTAGGATAAGGATCTGCTCAGTTGTTAATAGCCCAGGAAATGTTTACGCTGGAAGGGGCGAAATATGATGGGCTTGTGTTGCGTCTGCAATCCGTCTGCTGCGATCTCTACCATCCAATTTCTTCGAACATATACTATTCAAATAAAACGAGTGGCTATTCTGTAGACATGTGTCTTCCCAAGATACATACCATGGAACTATGGAGGACAAATGTTAATTACAACTTACTAATGGTACACACCGGTACAACCCTGGGAGCGGGAAAAGCCGCAAGCTAGTTAACGGAGCCCTGAGTAGTGGCACTGGTGGAAAGAGAAAGATCTAGCACTTCCAGGACATCATCACTTTGACTTTCCATTTTTGATATTCACACAAGGCTAGATCTGTGACAGCCAGAGCTTGACAACGGCAAGCATATCAAATCTCTGGATATCAGCTGTCAAAGCCTACCATCCTGTTGCACGAGCTGTGCTGCTCCTGCTGGACAGTTCCCCTTTGAGCAAGTCCGCCAGAAATCATTATTTGTTGCATACACCATCTACCCATTTCCAGATCGACCAAGTCGAGTGAGTATGCATTCACTCGGTCCAGTAGCTGGAAAAGGTCTGCTGACTTCTGAGCCTAGTCCTACTCTCGAGACCTTCCGAGTCTGTTGGGAAATCTTTATAGTGAAAGGTTATATGATATTGCAATTATTCACAAGGGGAGGAGGATTAAGTGACTGTAGGGGAAGAAGTTGAAGATGCCTGTGGCTATGGGTAGGCTCACAAACGTCGAATTCCTGCTTGCCGTAGCCGAAATCTCCATTTCAGGGGAAGTCAAGATTGATGAAAGGACACGCTTGCTGATCAGATATCTCTGACAGGCCCGTCTTACCTTTCGAGTCCTGATATGCAGTCGGCTGTCTTTCCGGACCGTCTTATCCGTCCGCTTCCCAAACGCTCTCTCAAATCTCGGCTCTCGCAGGAAGCGGCCGAGGCAATACCTTTCCCACCAAATCCACCTTCCTCTAGCTTTCCCGCTTACAATCAATATGGAGAACATGGCGAATACGTGAATGATAGCAAGGTCCTTGTGCAGCAGGATGATGAGTACTGCGATCACGATCATGACGACGATCACCACCATCATCACCATCACCACCATTGTCATGACCACGACCACGATGATCACCACTATCACCATCATCATCATCATCACGAGGTAGATGAGGATGTAGAGTCTATTGAAGATGAAGATCGCAATCCTGCCGCTGTGCGTAGGATGATGGCATACAGAGAGAGTCCTGCGTCGTCAAGGGCAACTCGACATTCTCGTCACGCGGCCAGTAAAGCAAGCTATTCGGGATCAGATGGCTATGATGCGTTTGAGAACACCAACAACAAAAAGAAACGCAAGATACCCACGTCTGGAAGTGTGGGATTGCATCAGTCAAGTCTGTCTGCCGAACTCGCACATCTCGGACTTCACAGCTCACGAAGCGACCTGGCCGTTGCGCAAGATGACGGTGCGGCAGACGGACAATACCAGGCATCTGCCTCGTACCCCGGTAACACGCTTTCAGGCAGTGGTAGAGCCCGGTATGGGAAGGACTTAGGCCGCCGTGTTGGCGGACGCACCCCGCTAGGTGTCTCAACCAACAATTCCAACTTGAGGCCCAGCAGTTTTAGTGGCACTTCAGCGAAAGGTTTGCCGATCCCGAAAACTACGTGGGAAGCTAGCTGATTGTATACCAGACGGTATCAGGTCATCAGATCAAGGTATCATTTCAGCAGCAATTGCCAATGCCACCGCTCTCTTGCGAAAACCGCTTCAAAAAGGTCAGGAAAACATTGGAGTTCTGGACCAGCAGCTGAAGGCCTCCCCCACCAACACACAATTTACATTCACCTGCGAGACGGATGCTGCCAAGGGTGTCACCTTCCCAGAACAGAGCCTTTATTCGGCAGGATATGCTCAACGGGCGGCTAACATCCCAACCACAACTTCAGCCAGCGGCCATGTGCCTGGCACGCCGGGTACTTATGCAAATTCTGGAACGCAGTCTGCCAACGGGCCAATGTCCCAGTCAACTGCATCACAAACCATGCCCCATGTGCCTGGTCAAGGCAAGAAACCACGCCGGCGCAGAGGAGACGTTTATGTTCTGGCTGCTCGTCAGCGGCGCCTGCAGCAAGAGTACGCTAACCTCCACCACCCACCAGGCTCGGAAGATATTTGGATATGTGAGTTCTGCGAGTACGAGAGCATTTTTGGTGTGCCTCCTTTGGCTTTGATCAGACAGTACGAGATCAAGGACCGGAAAGAGCGCAAGCGATTAGCGGAGAAGCGACGTCTCTTGGAGAAGGCAAAGATGAAAGGTCGGAAGGGCAAAAAGCAGACCAAAAATGCTGCCAAGGCTGCAAATGGGGTCAATCAGCAGCATCTCAACCAGCAGACTTACGATTCGCGACCCCTCGATCAGCTTGGTGGGGAGGATTATCTGGACGATGGGTACGACGATGACTCTATACCGTTGCCAGCGCCACCCCCTGCTCCGCTCAAACAATCTATGCCTGGAGCCTACGATGCAACAATGGGACGATATCAAGCTGCCGCAGGCTCAGGGAAAGGAATCGAAGCGGGATGATGGAGCTATGAGGCCGTGTAGTCCAGCGATCGCCTGGGTCCTGCACTCACGGCTGCTGTCACAATTACTTGGCGTCATCATTTGAGGTTCTTCGATACTCCAGTACACTCCACTCTCCTCCCTTCCCATTTAGTATGTTACATTAAGTTAGAGGCCGGCTGTGTCCAGTCACAAGACTCCGTTGACTTATAGAACCGGTGGGATGATGCATTGGTTTATAGTTCCGAGTCTGGCTACGAGTAGGAGTGATGTCACTTATCATCCAACACGCAGGATGACCTCACTCAGTCCGTGCTGGGAGCTGTCTACATTGCACAAGCTGCCGCACCAAATATGTCCACTGCTACTGTAGTACTGTGATTAGATGGTCTCAACGTTCGCTACCCTGACGAGGATCTGCTTACCTGCAGTAGTTCCGCATTAAGCTTCTTAGACTCAAATCACCCAGTCCATGCGGCCGTTACGTCATTGACCAAGGCCCTCTGGCCCAGATCCGGGGTAGCTTCCAGTCCCGTTCAAGGTTCATTGGTGATTCTTGATAAATTCATTGTCTGTGCTGTACACATTCCGCTTCTCTTCGCGGACGATATTCAATCAAGCTGACTACAGTCACCTTGTCGTTCCGGACCCTGCCGCTAACCGTTCGAGTCATTACAGTCCTACTCAGGGAGCACGTCTCTGTTGTGCAACACTGTTGCATTCCTCTGCAACTTCCTCATCACGACAACAAGAAACAAGTCAACTCGTTCCCAGAAACCTCCGTCATGGGTTTCGGAAGTAGTGGAAGCTCGCGTTTCAGCCTACAAAACATTCTGAATCTCGTCCTTCGATTTCTTCAGATCGTGTTTGCGCTTGCAGTGGTGGGCCTCTATGCGCAGGACCTGAACAAAGCCGATAAGGTGGACAAGTATAGCGACAGCAGATGGGTAAGGCTCCTCTCACTCTCCGCCAGGACCAGTAACTGATCTAAGTGAACGCAGGGTTTCGCAACTGCAGTAGCTGTGCTCAGCGCCATCACGGCTCTCGTCTATGCCATCCTTCCCCTACTTATGAGCTCTTTTACCACTGCAATCCTCTTCGGCTGGGATGCGATCCTGTTCATACTCTGGACTGCCGTATTCGGTCTCTTCGGATCAATGTACATCAATGTGGATCCTGGATCTGATGGTGGTATTTCGAGGATGAAGAACGCGGTTTGGATAGATTTGATCAACATGCTCCTTTGGTTCGTGAGCGCCATAGTGGGTGGCATCGGTTTTTGGAGGTGGAGAAAGGGCAGCCGCAGCTTGCATACTGGAAGGGCAACGTTGTGAAGGCTGAATGCGGTCTCAGGTTGGAACAAGGAACTGCTGGTTGGGTTGCTTTCCTGAGTCTGCGAGCGAGGGAATGACCAGTGGACCAAGAGCCAGCGCAGTTCTTGGTCTGAGCCTTTCAGGCTGATGCATATTTTTAGGATCTTGGATCAACAGCATACCTTGCCTTCTTTCCGCAACTCTACCATTAGTTCGATCCTCAACAACATTACTAGCAACAAGCATCGGGGGATTTGATGGTCTCCACGGGTAATGATACGCCAGTGAATTGCTTCACGAGAGAGTTCTCGAAGTGTTAAGAATACTCAGCTAAAGCATAATTCAATTTGGTATTGATCATGTGTTCTTTCATTTCAGAGTCCCTCAGGTACCATTTGATATGTTCAACCGGTCCATACGTGAAGAAGCAACATCAACTGCTTTTCCTCATCTAAGTCACTCGCTAAATACAGAGCAGAAAATGTTCACTTAAAGTGCTTACGCGTACTCCGTAATATGCTACCATCCAGAACCTTGCCGGTTTGGCCGCCTAGTGGCGACACAGTTTGTGGGAATTATATAACGGTCCTCGCGGTGCATTTGAATACTCATATTTATTGTCATCTATTCTTCCACAGCTAATAGTGGGGCTTGAGAGAATGCCCGAAGGCCCCTCACGCCAGAGCTGGATCTCAATAATGTTTCGATCGGCACCCAATGCCTTTGGAAACGACGACCGGGTGACGAGATGTCCTGTCCTAGGTTCTCTGTAGATACTCTGGGACTGTTCTTATCGTTGATTGATCAGCGCTGCAGTTCTAATTGAAGCCTTTCCTGCTCGCCATTAACACCTGTCTCTGCCTTCGCACCGTTTGCAAGCCCTGAACAATTGGACGGAGCGCTTTTCTCTTTGAATGTATAACCATCTCCTGGTGGCTATTTTGGATTGTCAGTAATACATTAGCCTTCATAATGTCAATATGTCAAGCCTCGAGGCAGGCCACTCGCCCCGCAATCCGACAGCGCATCTCTACAATTATCCCTAGACATAGCACTCCAAGCGCCCCAAGGTCAGTGCGATGGCTATCCTCCACCTCGGTGCGGGCCAGTGATGGTTCAAAGGCAGACCCGTATCGTTCGTCAAGCACGGCAGCAGCGCCTTTTGATAAGGAAGCACATGAAGGTAGCTTCTCTCGGACAGACAGAGGTGTCAGCTTCGAGTATCCAGCCGAGCAGGACTTTCCACGCAGCCAAATTGTCCAAGGACGGGGAGGCCCGCACTTTAAAAGAACCCTTCCTTCCTTCTCACTTGAGGGCAGAGTAGCTGTTGTAACTGGTGGTGCTCGAGGGTTGGGTTTGGTTATGGGCCAGGCATTGGTGGCAAGTGGAGCTGACCTGGCCATCGTTGATCTGAATAGTGAGTCACGACGACGGTGCAGGACGTGTCACTCATATCACTGACCTGTGTACAGACGACGAGGCAGCACACCAAGCCAAGGAGCTGGTAGCCCACTTCGAAAAGGAGAACCCTGCATCTGAAGGAGATGACCGTGCGAAAATTCCCAATGGCAAAAAGTCCGGCGTATCTAGAACCCCCAAAGTCACGGCACACTACTCTGATGTGGCGGATCCGGATTCTGTCACCAGCGCACTGTCCGAGATCATCAAAGAACATGGCAAGATCGATCACCTGGTCACCTCCGCAGGTTTCACCGAGAACTACGATGCCGTTGCCTATCCATACGACCGGATGAAGAAGCTATGGGGTGTAAACGTGGATGGCACATATCTCTTCTCAACTGGCGTGGCGAAACATTTGATGGAGAGAAACGCGCCAGGAAGCATCGTCATGATAGGAAGCATGTCCGGTGCGATTGTCAACGTGCCGCAGCCACAAGCTCCGTACAATGCAGCAAAAGCAGCAGTCCGACACTTGGCCGCGAGTTTGGCAGTGGAATGGGCGCATGCAAATATCCGAGTTAACTGCATCAGTCCCGGATATATGTTGACCGCTTTGTAAGTTCTGAGATGTTTCTATTGCCCCTGTACTCCTGGAGGCGGATGCTAACACAATACCTCTCCTTCTCCTTCAGGACTAGGAAAATCCTGGACGATAATCCCAACCTTAAGAGCCAGTGGACCTCTTTGATTCCTGTGGGCAAGATGGGCAGACCAGAAGATTTGATGGGAGCTGTAACTTTCTTGTTGAGTGATGCCAGCGGATATGTCACAGGCGCAGAGCTCAGAGTTGATGGAGGATACACCGTGACCTGAAGAGTGTACGTGGTATCAGGATCACGGGCAATCTTGCTGCACTGTTGTCGGCACCATGCATATGCAGATGATAGATGAGGCGGTTCCGCAAGGGGACGGAACGTTTGCCTCAGTTACTCAGGCGGGCTTAGTGGGCAAGCCACAAACACCTTGCTCGAATGAGCTAGAATCGGTATTTTAGTCCAGCTGTTATTGGTTTCAATATAAATTTTGTTAACGTAATTTTATTAATACACAAGCACATATTTTAATTTTTGTGAACTTAAATAATATTCTGTACATGGTTTTGATTCTTATCCTTAGATGTACTAATGCACCCCGACTTTGTCAGCGGTCGTGACTGAGAAGTGAGGCAAACGGAAAAGTATTACTTACGTGATAATTTACTCGATCGTTGCGGTTGATAGACCAGGTTAATCCCTTCGTTACCTCCTGATCCTATCAAAGGTCAAATCGAGGCCGAAAGGACAATTGCAGATGACCATCAACCGCCTTGTACCTCGTGATCACTCGTCAGGCAGATGATTCGGTTGTGATTTTAATACCCAACGCCACCCTTTCCGGAACAATCCTCAGCCTTCCCGCCCGCTTCTCTGGACTGTTTGATCTGCAGGGGAGAGACTGTCACCTTGCACAACACAACAGCTTAGCTCCTTACTACGTAGATAGCAGAATTCTAGAACAAATCCCGAAACACGTTAATTGTGTGCTACAACCTGTACTATGTAGTCGAATTGGCTTGCCAGAGAAAAATGCCCAGATTAGGAAAGGGGAAAAGGCAGCGAATCGGGACTAACTCAACTAGTTAGACAAGCCCGCCTTGGAGCTGAGGAGCAAGGGAAGAAGTGGCAAGGGTTTGGTTGTGCATGGCCCGGGGCCAGCTGCAGGCAAGCATCATTTTGCACTTGACAAGACATTCCCACATAGCTTGACATAGCTGATCGTTTCTTGGAGCGGCGAAAAAGTGACGAGCTGATCAACGATAAGTGGACGTTTGTGTCCTGTCAAGCAGTTGAATATTGGGAGATAGGATCCTTGCCGCCAGGCCAGACTATGCAGCGGTCTTCCAGGACGGCTATGTCATCCCCCTTCTGGCCTCACTTTCCGGCTTTGTTCTCGGAGCAATACCCAAGGTGTCAAGGACTTTCCTAACTCATCAGGCGGTCAATTGCAAACAGCTCCCCATCCAAACATCAGCGGTTCCGAAGGAAACCACCAAAGACCATGACTCTCATTGTTGTTTTAAATAAAGTTGGCATAAACCACTCATCATGCTCTGGACACGTTCTCGGGACATACAATTGGCCAGCTACCCGATCAACGACCTTAAGCAGAGCGTATTCGGAAAATGATGCTACGAGTAAGTAAGTCGGGCTTTGGAAGCCACAGGCGTTGGTCTTTGCCACATCCTCCGCCAATTTCGGGCTGTCCTAAGTCTTGTCCCTTTTTTCCTCAACCCCTTCGAAAAGTTCAGTCAGCCCTTGGTTCCAGGCTGTCGGGCTGCTTGCCTTGGGTCCTCCTGCCGACTCTGGTGCCAGTCCGCCTAATAACTTAATGTTGCTGGCGAGTTGGGTAGTTGCCAATGGGTAGGTACGCGTATCTTGTATCGTGTGACATATTCGATCCTTCTTTCGTGTGCTGAGTGCTGCTGCTACCCTCTACCCTCGCCCTGCCCTTGCTTCTCACAACTTCATCATCGTCATCACCATCATCAACCCCTTCCTACATTATCCTCCCACGCAAGACGTTTGACCTTCACTCGATTCATTCCCCTATCTGCTTCTCGTGCCCTTTCGTTTCTTCTGGTCCGCCGCGAAGAAGACCCTGCGCTGCCGCTGCGCTGCCCCACGACATCATCCCGTTTCTTCCTAGCAAATAAGCTTTCGGCACTCCTACACACCTTCCGCGCCAACGGTGCGGTGCCTGGGGCTCTTCGGCTCTTAGAGTCTTCACCTGATACTTCCTATTTTTCCTGACACTTCACCCCGGGTAAGGTCACACCGACCTTTCGAGGCAACGGTCGGTTCCTGCCTGGGCAGAGGCCACCAACGCCTTTGGGGCGGGTTGACTCAGCTTTGCCATAATCTTCGTAACAACTCGTGTCCATTCCCTCAGGTCCATTATCATGACGAGTAAATATTAAAAAGCAACCGACGAAAGAATTTCGTTTTGCTCAGGGCGTGATTGATTGTCATGCCTGGAGGATTGCCACCGGTGCTCATTACAAATACTGAAACCATCACCGAGGAAATCGATAACAACGAGCGCGTTCAAGTAGATGATGTGGCCAGATTATGGAGGGGTATTCCAGGCTCCATCTCTGCCATAAGATTATGCTTCTGACGCCTCCTCAGTCTATACTCTCAACAGTACTCATATCGAAGACGACGGAGGAACAAGACTCGAGAATTTTTTCTGGAGGATATGGAGCAACGAAAGCATTATTAATTCCATCCGTGGCAACACCCTTGCTAGGTTGTTCATGACTATATCTGAAGGAGGCAATCGGGTCCGCACTACGCCGGTGCCAACTCCACTTGCGACTACACCCACTCAGGCTTCGGTATGTTTGCTTTGTCCAGCTTAGAGCGCCTTCCCGCTGATGGGCCAGACATTTCTCAGGGCTGCTCCTCCGCAACTGGCAGCTCCGCAGACCCTTAGTGAAGAAAGTGAGCGACCTGTTGCGAGGCACAGTACAACTGAAACGGGGGCGTCCCCTGGGCCATCCACCGATCAGTCACGGATTCTTCTTCCGATTCTCAAAAAATCGCACGCTGAATTCGATGACCTACCTGAAGCTGCCAAGGTACCATCACCCAAGGCCGATGTACAAGACTTATACACCAATCCTCGGCGGAGGCAATCGTCTGAAAGCTCGGGAGCTCTTTCACCCCAGACTGGAGCTGCGGATAAGGGCCCAAAAACTGCAGGAAAGAAGAAGACGAGCTTTGCCGCAGCGACTGGGACTAGAAAGGCACGACCTGGGGCTCCGAGGAAGAGAAGCAGCCAGACATCCGGGTCTGGTGAACAGAGAAAAGGAAGCCAGACCTCTCCTTCAGCCGGAGGTCAACCGGGCAGGACGACTCCAAAATCAGCCATGGGTCTACCTTCATTGCTGAGTAAGTATACCTCTGCCAAGTTCTTGAACTTCATCTATGACATACAACGATATTGAAGAATCCTCACCACTGACAGATCATAGCCGCCGCAAACTTTGCGCTCCCGTCGAGTTCATGGCAGGACGTTGATTCACCAGCTTCGTCGCGTGCCTCGCTTGATACTACGCTCTCGACGCCGCAACAACCTTCATCATGGTTAGTTGACAAGAACTTCCGCGGCAAGTTTGTTGAGAACCAGAAACGCGCCACCAGCTCAATAAACCTTGCGGCTTTGGGGAAGGGTCAATCTGTTCGCTTTCTTGATGAGATGCCCGAGCACAGAAAATCTGCAGCTAAGGGTAAAGCGCGGATGGAGGAAGATGATGACGATGAGGAAGAAGACGAACGAGAAGAAGAAGTTGAGGCGAGCAAATCAGCAGAGCGCAGCCCACCATCAGCGGCAACTGCGGCAATCGCCGAAGACGACGATGAGGACGAAGATGACATGCCCACTCTACCGAGAACGAAGAGCCAACTCAGCATGTTGATTGACAAGGAGAGGAAATATAGCGGTAGCGCGAACCTTGGACCCCAGCTTCCAAAACAGGACAATCGAGGGAGGAAAAATGAGAAGGAAAATAATGAAGACGTGGAGGAGAATGAGCTGCTAGTTATGGCTCGAGCGGACAAGAAGGGCAAAGCAAAAGACCCTGATCAACCTTTCAAAGCGGCGGCCAAGAAAGGCTTTCTGAGGAGCGGTGGCGGTGGTGGCGGTGATGGCGGCGCAGGAGGATCGGGTAGTCCCCCGCCTGTGTTTTGAGGCATGCGCCGAGAATGGAGACGAGATATCTGTACGATCGTGAGGGAGCATGTGTACTATTCTGTCCAAACCACGAAACGATTGCGACGGCCGAAACTTACCTGTATCACCAACAGCAATATACCCCTGCATGGAGCGGAGAGCCCGGGAATGGGCAAGATAAGTAGTATCTTCAATTACTGGAAGATTTCAGCTTTCCGAGGCATCGCTGGAAGGATCCAGATGTTACTGAGATGAGCTAACGGACGAAGGTGATCAGGAATGAGAACAAATTTCTTCAACCCGCACTCCTCTTGTCTATACAACCGACCACTAGCCGTGCTGTGTTGTGCTGCATTTGCTATGCTGTGCTATACCATGCCGTGTTGTTTTGTTCTCTCCTGGCATATATCCGATGGGATAGATCAAACAGGAGTCAAGATGCGCCGACTTCAGGCTCCTTCATATCCATCACGCAACCTCGTTTTCCGATTCCATGCCATGGTCTGATCATATTATTAAATCATGCACCACCAATCTCCACTCCTCTCTTTCCACATCCTCTCCTTCCCTCCACCCTCTTCACCCCACCTAACCTAAGCACAGCACAGTACAGTACAGAAATGCGCCTAATCCTCAGTCAAATCGCCATACTCCCACATCCCCCTCCTCCCCTCCTTAGCCTCCTCCTCCAACTCGCGCAACTTCTTCAACACCTCGGGCCCCGTACCCCTCGTCTCCCACGGTCTCAATTTCCGCGGCACCATCGCCAACCCCTCGCGAATCACATCCGCATTGATACTCTCCGCCACGGAATTACTGTTCTTCGGGTCCAGCAACGTGACGTGCAGGATCCCGGTGTCGGGGGCTACGTGGTCGACGTTGGCGACCAACTCCCTCCCGTCAGTCGATTCGCTGATGAAGGCCACCGCGTCGGCGAGGTAGGTGGGCGATGTGCTTGGTAACTGGATATACGACAGGACCGCGTCGATGGCCTGGGGTTTCAGTTTCTGGGTGCTGAACTGGGGTTGGGTGAGTGGGCGCAGCTGGCTCCACGGTCGGTTCTCCGAGTTGCCGTAGTCCATGTACGTCACCTCTGCGGTTTTGGCGTCGCGGTCCACGCGGCGGATGCGCGCGCGGTACCAGTCGTTGTCGAGGCTGAATTGGGCGGCGACGATGTCGCCGACTTTGGGGGCGCTGGTTAGCGGTGAGGGTTTGGTGCTGGGGGAGAGGTGGAAGGCTTTGAAGGAGCTCATCAGCTCGGTCAGGGAGGTGGTGCCGGGCCCGATTTGTTGCAGCTTTAGGTGCCCCGTTTCCGGGTCGACGTGCGTGATGAGGACGTCTCGGTAGTCTTTTGCTTTGGGGGTTGCGGAGTTAGGAGGGGCGGTGGTGGAGTCGCCGTTCGTGGTGTCTGTGGTAGGTGCTGGCTCGGATGGTTGGGCTTCGCCTTCGTCTCTGCTGGGATCCCAGTCGTGCCACATGCCTCTTTTGGCTTCTTTGGCTTTCTTTTCTGCAGCGAAGAGCTCGTTTGCATGGCCGGACTGTTCGGCCGAGTAGGCGTGGACTTCTGCCAGGCCTTCTTCGACGAGGACCTTGGCGAAGTTCTCGCGGTTGACGTATAGGGTGCCGATGAAGCCGCCAACTTTGTCAGTGTTCTCAACGTCAATCTCGACATCCCGTTGCATGCATCTTCGGTTTGCAAAGTCGTGGGCTTCTTGACCGAATGGCTCTGATTTCTCCTCGGCATTTCTGGCTGACTTGGGTGCGCGAATACCCGAGAGGACGAAGGTGAGCTTTGCATTTTCTCGAGGCACTAGCACCACAAAACGAGAGGCAGATCTGACAAAATCGACGACCGCTGGGACTTTCTTCTGCCGTTGCAACACAGAAGCCTCCATTTTGGCCTTCTGTAGGCTTTCCGAGTAGTCCTGATACTGCTTGACAGCTGGTGGTTTCGACGCCCACATTCCTTTTCCCTCCTTTTGTGCTGCCTCTTCGGCGAGCAGGAGTGAATCGTAATCTGCGGATCGATCTTCATCGTCTCTTCGATGTCGTATCACAGACGCATAACCAGCTTCGACTAGCATCAACGCAGCATTCTTCCCATTCAGTGTGACGGTAGCAACGTCTCGCTCCTCATAGCCCTCACTGGCCGCCTTTTTGCCATCAATGCTCACCTTCACATGTTTGCCAATTAGTTTTTTTCGAAGAAATTCCTTTGCATCTGCTGAAAACGGTGATTGTTTGGGATCGGAGGGTTTGGGCTGTCGAATGCTACTAAGGTTGATCTTCTTTTCTGGACCGGCACGTGGTCGTATAAATATCGTATCCGCATTCAGAACTCGGACGACAGTATAATCGGCATCCGGCGCACCTCCAGCTTTCGGAGCAGCGTGGCCGGCAAAGAGTCCTTTTCGAGCATCTTTGGCAGCTTTCTCTGATTGTCGGAAGGCCGCCATATCGTTCCCAAGCATGGTGACATGCTGATCATTGCATCGAGCGAGGCCAGCATCAAGTAGGAACTGCGCAATATTGCCTCTAGGATGTATCACAGACCCTATCAGCTGATTCTGCGGGGTTGATCCCACCAACTGAATAGCACACTTCCGTTGAAGTAATCTCTCTTCAACAAACTGTTGCGCCTCAGTTCCGTAAGCTTCGGCGGGAATTTCTTTGCCATCTGGTGAAGTTCGCTTTGTTGAGGGCGTCCGTACTCCGGCAACAACAAGAATTGTCTGAATGTGCTTCTGTGGCGAAACCAACAAGCGCACAATCAAGCGATCCCCAGTCAGCACCTTCTCTATTATGGCGTCTAATGGCTTTCCCTTGTGTTCTTCGACCAGAGCATTCGGATCCGTCACCTCGTAAGACGTCTCTATCTTCGCACCTGTGGAACTCCATACGCCTATTGCGGCATTTCTGGCTGAGGATTCGAGATTGCGCAGCTTTTCAAGATATGCAGCAGCATCTTCGGTTTCCTCCTTCTTGCCAGCGTCGTCTCGCAATTTGGCCCATCCTTCGGCTACCACCCGATCGGGGAAGCTGGGCCCATTGGGCAGGTTGACTCGACCATACTCTCGCTTTGTGGTGGGAACGGTATAAAAGGTCTCGAAGGTGATCACTTTTCCAACAAGTAACTCTCTCAGGAATTCTCTTGATTGAAACGCGAATGGCTCATTGAAGGTTAACAGAGACCCTTGTAAGAGCGCATCAGGCTCACCTCGTCTCCCTCTCTTTTCAGTCTTGGTGCAGAGATGTAGGCTAAGCTAAGGGTTCTCTCAGCACCTTTTGGGTTGGTCAATATTAGGGTATCTCCAGAAAGCACGCTTTTGACTTTGGCTTGAAGGACAGGCATTGTTGATCTAATGGTCCACAGCACGGATCTTAGGAGACTTCAGGTGTTGCCGAAGCTGAGAACCAAGAAGCAGGTCTATGTGTGAGCAAAGAACTTAATGCAGAAAGCTGGCTGGCAAGATCTGCTTATTCGAGTCAAGAACTTTTTAAATTCGTGCATGATCCGACTCTATTTATGTAGCTTGGCAGTGTCGCGTGTTATTGCGTCAACCATACGGAGTACTTCCTCACTCAGGTAGACAACCCACATAATTTGGCCAGTCTTGAACATAGGCAGTCTTCCAAAGACCACCGGCATTAGCCTTCCGCCCTGATGGCGTATCCCGGACGTCTTAGGTACATAAGCGGTGAAGCACGCTAAATAGTGATGTCCTTATACAACTGAAGTACAAAGCCTCGATCAACTCTTTCCTGTTGTGAGATAGCTTCCATCGTCCAGGTCTGGATTCCTATTGGCTCGAAGCCTTGCAATACTGTCGTGCATGCTTCATAATCAGTATCTTTGCTTCACATGGTATATGCCCCAAAGTAGTCCCTGCTGGCGTAAGTCCACGAGTGCAGTCACCAAAAGAGTGGCACAGGTGCCACATGTAGGCAACAAAGAAATACCGCTGCTAAGACTCAAGTTGAGGTTGTTGAGCTAATTGGCAGACGGTAGTATTGAACCAAAAAGGCCAGGGTCATTCATATATACCAAGGTGGATAAGATCAGACTTGCCATTTCACTGTTATTGGATGCTCATGCATGGTCGGCCACGTCGCAAAAAGGGCTTTGAACCGCGTCCACATTGGCAGTATCAAAAGAGCCCTGATTTTGGTTCCCACATCGAGCGGTTGAATCGGAGCCCGAGTTACAGTGTCCTCAGACATTTAGAACCCCATCTCTTCCTGATCATCAAAACAATGGAACTTTATTCTTGCAGGTCACCCCGAATGCTCAAGATATTATGGAGAACGAGAAGATCTTCGGATTACTACACAAAGAAGACCAGCAACGTAAATACCAAAACATTTTTCTTGCGCATCTCGCCGTCCACGTCACGGTCATTGGCATCCCGTGGTGCCGCACCTCTGGCGTCCGGTATCACCAACGGTCTATCCAATGGCTCCACCAATTCGGCCCATCTAGGGACTTTTTCAAACACCTTAGGTCGGGATTTTAGCTCCGCCATCAACTCATCGTGAATGATTGGTGGCGTATCTCGTGGCAGTCCCCGGTCTATGAGGCGATTGAATGCTTTGACGAGGAGGTAGGGGATCGTGGCCAGAACAGCGCGTTGGTCCCTCTCCTGGACAACAGAAGGCGGTGGTTCGGGGATATCGCAAACACGCCATTGGTGCTGGTTCCAGAAATACTCTATCTCGTTGCGCAGGGTGAGGTGGCGGCCTCCGAGGATAGCGACATAGATCCGATAGACGGTAGCAAGAGGAGTGTCGTGCTGTAGCTGGCGCGGATAGAATTCGGAGAATTTGTCTCGGGATGAAAGGAGCACTTGGACTGGTGGAAGTGCATAGGCGGAAGAAGGAGGAGGCAGTTTATGACCAAATGTCTTGCCGAAAAGACTTGTAAGACTGCAGGTCATTTTTTCAGGCATGGTCGAGGTGAACGCAACCTAAAAACAGCAGACTCAAAGGAGCTGCGCAGTGTGCCTGCTATGTAGTAGCTGGTATGCTTTTTGCGGATTGAATGCTCGTACTCAGACAAGTACTCGGTGGACTCTATCTAGGTAGCAGTATCTTTGTGGCGCTCTGAGTCGAGGTGAAAGTCACTTCACTTCACTCATGACCATTATCACATCTGGCTTGAGTGACAAGAGCAATGAAGTCAGACTTGTAGACTGGTGGCCGGCTCTTTAAGGATTGTGTCCACAATGACGGTCCATAACAGCTTGACGAAAGATATATCAATAAAACATTACATTGTATTAGGATGCTGCATTCCTTGCAGCTTTTTTGTTCTTCTCACTACGACCCCGGAAGCTGACTCTTGCGGGACCACCCGCTAAGGTTGTCCTCCTATTCCAATCGCTTCCGTATAGTGCATGCTTTCCCCTTCGTGTACGCTGAGCATAATCGTGCATACCATGATATAGTACTTGGCCTCTTTCTATTGGTGTAACTCCAATAATATCAGCCATTTGGACAATGGTCGATCTAATGTCCGAAATATTGACATGCATGTCAATGTCACAAAGACAGAGCTTGGGGAGAATGTTGTGTATGAAGGCTAAAGGCAGTAACGAACAAGATGTCAAAAGTAGCATCCGGCCAGCCACCAATGAGCTTTGTAATTTCAGTCATGGTATCCGAAGGGAAAGAAACTTGTCGAACATGTTGATGTCCTCACACATGAAGGAAGCCGGTGTTATTTCTGACCTGGTTGTGGTTCGTCAGTCATATCCTGCACCAAATGTGGCAAACGCCTTCTTCGGCCTCCAGAATGTTTTATCCTTCTCGTAGGATGGTGATCGCTGACAGCTTACGAGCCATCAAGTCCTGTTGAAAGAGTCGTAGCTGTTTTGAAGAGGCATATTGTGGGGAATGTTTCGGCTGGGTTCACTGATGCCATATTATGCAATGCATACACCAGCCTGATCTGCAGTACCGCCCATGACTGCAGTGTTGGCTTTCCAAGAGCCTTCCCCCATTTAGTGTCCCCTCTCCACCGAGCATCAACTATTAACCTCGAGAACAGCGGCGCTCGGCAAGGGTTTGTTGACCCTTCTCCTTTCAATCTGCTCTGCTACAGACCCCTAGTCTTCTCCGGATCCATCTGATTTTCCGGCTCTAGACCACTTCTTTCCTTGACCGCTTTGAAAGCTGGTCGTCCTCCGTAGAGCTGCCCACCCCCACCACCTGCTCCCTTAATCTGAGTGCCTCCGCCACCCTCCAATTCCTGCGAGACACTGATGGGTTGGTTGCCTCTGAACCGTTTGCGCATATCCACCAATCCTCGCTTGCACTGCCCAAGGCCTCGCTTCAGTTGTTGGCATTGCGTGGGCAGAGTGTCAAGAAGAGGAGGTGTCAGACATTCGACTGGGGTATGCCGCTCGACGAGGATACAGTCACTGTTCTGTAAGCAGTTGGCGAGAGCAGCACCTGGCCACAAGATCTTAGCAAGTCAAGGCCGGGTATCCACGGCTGAGAAAACGTAGAAGAGATATGATGACATACGGATTTCTTTGCAAGAAGAGGGCATCGCAGATAAGCTGCCTGATTTTTTGACCGCCGTAAACCAGAGTCGGCTGCGAGGATAGAGCTAGGAAATATACCCAACATGATCTAGTTAGAAGGAATAAGACGATTGCCACGCTTGCAAGCGAGTGCACCAAGAGTCCTTCTGAGAATGTTGCCAGCTGTAGCCGGGGCTTAGCCGGGGCTTGATTACTTAAACATTGGCATCGCTTTTTTACCACTAACCTCCATCTTCGTCGACACAACTGTACCCGCCAAATGATCACGGTTAGAATCATACAAGAAGCATTTCCTGCATAGCACTGCATAGCAGGATCGTCAATCAAGCCTCTTTGCAGAACTCGAGTACCTTGGTATTATCTCCACCATTCATATTTGTGAAGCTCTTGCTCCTATGCTATTTCAAGCTACCGCCACACATGTTGAACGCGTCACAAACTCCAATGATGTTTTCACAGGACAATGTTCAACAGTGTATTTTATTAAGGACTAGATGGGGTATCAGAGAAAGACTTCTTGAGTCAATTAGGATCTGACCACTGGCCCAAATGCTACCTGAAACTAAAGGTGGTGAAGGAGGTGTCGCGCGTCAACTTCGTCCCTGGTTTCACAACCCTCAAAACGCTCCTTTCATGTCCGCCGATGGAAGTACACCATCCACAATCCAAGGTATATAGTGTAACCTATCTCCCCTGCTGACCACTGTCCACTGTGTTCAGCCACATCAAGCCACTCCTTTCTATCGTTCTTTTCTCATTCGCTTCACCTGCTGGTCAGGTTTCCATTCCTTCAGCCAGCGTAACTATCCGGTCTTTCAAGCTTTTTGCTATCGTCATATTTCTTCATTGCTTATTTATCCGATCATGATCGTCCCTCTTTCAACAACTCTTCTTGCTGCTTCTGTCTTGACTGCATCTCCGACTGCTCTCAGGCGTGCCGTGCAACAGCTTGATCAAGCTGCATTCGAAGAAGCTCAGGTCCGAGATGATACAGCTACACGGGCATTTTCCGACACGGCAATCAAGGTGTGTACCTTCATCCGTGGAATGTACCATGCCCTAATATACTCTGTAGACTTCTGGCGGAAAATGTCTCTCAGTCGATCAATTGTCCGGGGACTTCCGAGCAAATCTTACGCCTGTTCAGGTAACTGCTTGTAACAGCACTGATGGTCAGAAATGGGACATTATCACCAGTGGTAAACACAACAACCAAAAAAGAGCTATGCTGGTTGTCAGTACTCTGGTAACCGCCTTCCATTCAACCTGTCCTACCCAACTCAGTCTAACAAATATATAGACACAAGCCTGTCTTAACTTTGATCCTCGTCGCGCCGCTGGAAACCAAGTCAATCTCTTTTCGTGTGGTGGGCGTGCCGATGGTGGTGAGTACAGGCCCTCCCTGCATGCTGACCACAACTCTGATCACATGATGTACAGGTGGTGAACAAACCGATTCTCAAATTTTCGATTTTGCGGGTGGTGCTGGTCCTTTGGCACTTGCGCTCAAGAACGATGCCGGAAGCTGCTTGGCAGTCAAGGGAAACGTCCTCGATCAAGCCTCTTGTTCTGAAGGCGATGCGACGCAGTCTTTTACTTTTGGCTAGGTTTGCATTCAAGGACGTCCCAATCTCAGATGGGCACGTCGCTCCTCAATCTCTTGGTCTATGTTATTGATGTTTCGTGGGCCTTGGTCTTTGGCTGTTTAGAACATGTCATGGTCAGCGTCGAAATGGTGGGCGTACCAGAAGTCGTTAAGAGAACCTTCAGTCACATTATTTGAGCCTTGCGTGGCACCCCTTTTCTTACCCATCTCCATGCTCCCTTAAGAGGATGTGGTTCTACAGAGCACATGAAGCACCGGTGTACGTACATATACAAATAAAATAACTGGTCTGCCTGACCCACGTATCATACTAAACAACAAATTCCATTCCTATAAATCACAGACCAGATATGACCAGACTCGCAGCAGACGCGCGTATAAGAAGACAAGAAGATGAGGCGAGCAAAAAATTACATCTCGAACAACAGGTTATTGGGGTGGCCCCCCGGCGCTACGATAAAATTTCCCCATTGATTCTTTTCGCGGTAAGTGTACTACCCGACTCGGAAATCCATGTCCCTTCCGTCCACCGAACCGAAATTTGGGCATCTTTTCAGTCGAGCCAAGTGTCTCCCGCATCCCGAAAGGAGCATGATCAGAAGCATTCATCTTAACAACCAAGTCGCCCTCTTCGGATGCAGTACTGGTTACCGCCTCGACACTACACACGAAGGCTGGGACTCGTGGCTCTGGTGGGCTTCGGTGTCGTCAAAAAGAATAAAAAAAGCATTGGATGCACTATTGCTATCATGTACTTAGTCCTCTAACTAGTAGTTATCCACAAGTTGAAGTACAATTTGGTTCACCATGTGCCTTTTGGAGCAATCGAACTACCCGATCGGGAATATGCATCACGTGCATCCATCCTACGAGCTGACGATTTTGGAAATTCTGAGAAGGTTCTGTCGTTGTGCCAAGCTGGCTCGAGAACATAATTAAGTTTACTAGCAGCTTACAACCAGGAGAGCCATGCCAGGGAGGCGGCTTTTTGGCCGTGCTCCTGCGTGTGAGGGGTGAGAATCTTACAGCTCTGACAGTACTGAATGTTCTTAGAGCAAGTATCGAACATCCTGCAACCCATGGCTAGGAAGCAGCACCTGGTGAGGCCAAAATGAAAAGTCGCGCCAGCCAATGACTTTACCCCAATCCTCACAACTATAGATCTGGGCTCGTGCTACGCTTTGACATATGCTCGGTGAAACCTCGTGTTCTGTTGTTGCTGCTGCTGGGAATGCAGATTGGTTATTGACTTCGCCGTTGTCTGTTATGCACGAGACGAAGTCTACCATCGTGATATGTCCTCCAGGACGAATGCTTCAGTAAACACTTTTCGGAGTCTTGCTGACTGACTGTCCTCCCATGAATATTCGTTAGGTCGAATGGGATATGTGGTGATACGGCATTGAGACTGTCTTCATATTCGTAGAGCAGCCATGCTTGTGTGGCGTCGTGAATTCCTCCATGTGTTAAGCGAAATTGTCGCGGCTAATTGTCGAACAGGTTCAGGACCTCAAACAGTAGCTGCTTACTCGACAGGTTTGAACCCAGAGAGCGCCGTTTGCATAATTGCTTGAGTCTTCATTTTCAAGATCAGATCATGAATCAAGCTTCTCCCCCACGTCTTCAAACTCTACCAACTCAACACCCGACCCTACGACTTCTCCCTGGCCATGAACTACTCTTTTCACGACCAGACCCTCGCCTGGACTTCTGATCACTGTTTCCATTTTCATGCTTTCAATTATCAGCAATGCTTGATCCTTCTTCATCACGTCTCCTGCTTGCACATCAACACGTAAAATCTTGCATGGCATGGGTGACAGTAAAGAATTCGGATTTTCAGTGACGCCAAGGGCTGCAGATAGCCAGGTGGGCGGTGCAGGAAGGAGGCGGTATAGACTGCCCCGAGCAAAGATATGGATAGGTAAGGTTGCGGAGGACCTGATGGCGGAGGATGGAATGATGACACGGGATGTGAGACGAGTGCTTGGGAAATATGTAGTCAAAGTTGACGTTGAAATATCAAAGTTCGCTGAGCATGCAACATCCCTAAAGGTTTGAGACTCAAGAATCGAGACGGAGAAACGGCCTGGACTGGTTTGACGCAAATGGACGCTATATGGATGCGGCTTCACACCGAGCTTCGGTTCTTCATCGGCGGATAGAAAATGGAATACACGGGACTGAAAGTCAGAATAGGGTGATAGCCATGCTAAGGCATTACTTGCTCTCAAGGGCGATGGCGACTTCGAGAAGGAGCTCTGAAAGAATGAAGCGATAGCGCCTTGTGCTAAGATCTCATCGTCGAGGCGCTTTGGAGTGAAGAGCTCATCTCGATGCTTGTCAATGTAGCCTGTTTCTACCGCACCCCGCAAGAAATCCTCAGACTTGCACAGTCTCTTCAGAAATTCAATATTCGTGATCGGGCCTGCGACTTCATACTCGTCAAGAGCTAGGGTAAGACTTCTCACTGCCTCTTCTCTAGTGTCACCTCTTACAATCAACTTTGCGATCATCGGATCGTAATGACTGGACACTTCGTCACCTTCGATAAACCCACTGTCAACCCTGACATTCTCGGTTTGCGTTGGCAGGCGTACGTGCAAAAGCTTGCCAGAATCAGGGATGAAGCCTTTTGCTGGGTTCTCAGCATATATACGAGCCTCAATTGCATGACCCCGGGTGCCGATTGCAGCCTCGACTTGTTCTTGATTTTGGGGCAATGGTCTACCCTCTGGGACCATGATTTGCCAATGCACCAGATCAAGGCCAGTGACCATCTCCGTCACTGGATGCTCGACCTGCAATCTCGTATTCATCTCCATGAAGAAGAACTCTCCAGAGTCATTGTCGAAGATGAACTCCACAGTGCCCGCACCCTCATACTTTACTGCTAAAGCTGCAGCCCTGGCTTTCTCCCAGAGATCATTTCTCGTTCGAGGGTCCAGATGCGGAGCAGGTGACTCTTCTAAGATCTTCTGGTGCCGGCGTTGTATACTACAATCGCGCTCTCCAAGGGCGACACAGTTACCGAACTTGTCTGCAAATACCTGAACCTCAATGTGTCGCGGCGTGGTGATGTACCTTTCGATCAAGACATCGTCATTACCAAAACTATTCTTTGATTCTGATTTTGCCGATTCAAGCATTTCTGAGAATTCGGCAGCTGATCTTGCTATGCGCATTCCTTTTCCTCCTCCACCACGGACAGCCTTGATCAGCACTGGGAAACCAATTTCCTCCGCTTGTTGAGCCAAGGTATCTAGGGACTGGTCTCGACCGTGATAGCCTGGCACACATGGTACCCCCGCCTTATTCATGATATCCTTGCTCCTTGCCTTGTCTCCCATGTCTTCAATAGCCTTCCATGGAGGTCCAATGAACACAATTCCTTCTTCTGTGCACCTCCTGGCAAAAGCAGCGTTTTCTGAGAGAAAGCCATAACCTGGATGGATTGCTTTACACTTCTGTGACTTTGCAACATGGAGTATCTTGTCCTGGTCAAGATAAGCCCCCGTTTCTCCCAGATTGAAGGCCCATTGTGAGGAATGCGCATGTTGAGATTTGGCGTCAGGGTTCGTGTAAAGGGTTGTCGTACGGATGCCATGTTGAGCAGCAGTGCGGGTAACTCTCAGAGCAATCTCTCCTCGGTTGGCTATCAATATCGAATCGAGAGGATCAACGTTCGACTGCGGTGCGGAGGTGGAGATTTGTTTGCGTGGACCTCCTGCAACGACAGGGGACCGAAATGCGATGCGGTAGGGTGTCGATAGAGGCAGAATGGTTGCTCGAGGCATCTTCAGGCGTTGCTGTTGAAAAGATGCCTCAGCTCTGTGTCTTCGTGAGATAGAACAACATATAACAACCAGGCAGATCCCAGTTGCGTTGAAGTAGTTGTCCTCCCGTATGATTACATACTACATATCCCAATTGTCCTCCGCGAATAGCCGGGCCTTCTCAAACTGGGGTTGACATTGCGGGGGGAAGCTTTTCCTGGAGCGCGTTCAGCTCTTGGCAGCATTCGTCTGGTCTTCAAGCTTCAGTTCTCCGGGATCACTCGCAGCATCTGCGGTCGGAAGGCATTGGATTTGAGAGCACTTGTGTCACAGACGACATACTTGAGTCTTTCGACCACCGAGTAGTTTCTTTTAGTGTCTTTTGTTACGATCCATGCCAGACCTTGTCTAATCACCCCGTAAACGGCTGCCTGCATCAGCTGGTCTTCGAAGTTACGTGGGTAGTCCTCGATCCTGCTCCTCTGATCGATGGGGCCAAAAATCCTTACGTTGAACCAAGCTTTCGGCATTTCGATCACTGTTGCCTTCGATCATGTCAGACGATGGATATTTCTATGATGACGAAGCCGACGACTTTGAAGGAGATCTATTTTGGAATGACGATGGCGAGATTGTACTTGCCGTAAGACCATCTCACAGCGTACCGTCTTTTTGATAGGATGGCGATGGTTGACGCTATTGCAGGACGATCTTGCCGAACACACTCTTCCATCTCCCGTATATGCCGAAGATGGTGCGTACGAGACCATGGATGGTTATTCGGACTGGGAGTACTATTCGGACGACTACTATGACGACGATCCCACTCTGTTGAAAGACAACCCGCAGGAAGGTAGCCTCTTACGAACAAACAAGTCCAACAGTTCCAACGGCTTGCCCCGGGGAAAGAAGCGCAAGCTTGCCGCTACAAGTGACATTCAGGTTTATCCCTCAGTGGTGACTTCAAAGAGCACAGGACCATGGGACCCTCCCCCAAAGGCCACTGGCTGGAGATCATCTTCTGTTGAGAACAAGGAGAAGAAGCTTTATGAACCAGGCATGGGAGAGCGGGTTGCACTTCTTGGTAATTGGCGGGAGGTTTTCAGATCAAGTCAACCCTTCGGCAGGCAACAGAGGAATAGCGAGTTAGGCACTCGCAGTAAGAGTGATAGAGGATATGGAAAAAGTCTCCCTATACCTACTACAAAAACAACTCTGCCACAAAATGTTGAGCTCAATGGACATACGGAAGAGCCGGACGCAAATGAAGACGAAGGAGCAGCACCGAAAGACTACAAAAGACGTCAAACGTCATATCTACAAGGTCCGCCAGTTTCACGACACCACAAAGTTGTTGTTGAGATACCTGTACAGCGAGTCAACGGAGTGAAAAAGGACAGACCAGGGAATCAGACGGGGACAGCATCGAAACCTCCAGCAGGCAGAAAACGAAAAGCAAGTGATGTTGAACATGAGAACAGCGATGGAGCTCTTCCTAAGCCTCCTGCGAAAAGGGCTGCCTCGGGTAGGGTTCCATTGAAGAGCAAGAAGAAAGCGAAGTCTCCACCGTTACCTTCTGCAAGGACCACACGAAGCAGAAAGAAGTGAAATTGGTCATGTCTAGACAGTGTGAGCAGTGTGAGCAGTGTGAGCTGCGGAAGTTACCCGTCTACTCCAGATAGTTGTTGCTTAGGCTACCTAACCCATCAGTTAAAACTTTACACTACTTACCAGTAAGCTGACAAGAGCACCGGCCTCCCGCGATCTGTTGGCGTGTGGTCTTCTGGCAACAAGCGCTAACAACATCGAATTGTCATGGAGTAGCTATACCAGCTTATCCTACCTGAACACATTAGCCCATTGGAGGACAAGAGAAATCTTGTCACAAGGATTCCACCGTACTACGTATATCTTCATGCTTGGTATGTAAGATGAATGCGTGTGTATTATTAAGCCAGGCGGCCTCAGTCAACGCCCGCCTCCGACGGTATGACATATGGATTACTATTCTTCTCGTGTTGATCCATAGTGGAGCCGGACCCCCCGGACGCTGATCTCCAATTCTACTCCCCATATGTATCTTGCACTTCGTTCCACTGCATCTCCTTTGTCACCGTTCATCCCACTACTTAGACGCGAATTTCGGTACCTCTTGTAGAAAATGAGCTTGTTCAAGACCTGGACTGGTCAATCGCAAAGATCGCAACTCTCTCAGCAATCCAACCACGGCCCGCAGGAGGCGCCATCACCAGCACACAATCAGACAACATCACCATCACCACCACAACCGCAGCGATATTCGTCCTTCAGAAATGACTTGTATCAAGTCACCAGCAACCGCTCCAATGCAGATCCTTTCGCAGGCCATCTGAACCACCTAACACCATACCAGGAAAGCCAGCTTGAAAAGTTCAAGTCAATTCTTCATCAGCAGGGTCTCTACCGGCCGGCCAGCCAGGATCAACCCGCAAGTCACGATGACCCGACAGTCTTGTAAGCACTAGAATTATCCGCTTTGCTTGACGAGGGCTGACGGAGCAGACGTTACCTTCGAGCACGGAAGTTTGACATCAATGGCGCATATGCGCAGTTCCGTGATACAGAGAAATGGTCAAAGGAGAACAAGATAACAGAACTCTACGAGAACTTTGATGTTCAATTCTACGAGAAAGCTCGGCGAATGGTAGGACCTAATTACAAAGGATCCTTGTTTTGCGCGCTCTTACAAATTCGCTAGTATCCGCAATGGACTGGGCATCGAGACAAGCGTGGCATACCGGTCTATGTCTACGTTATCAAGCATCTCGATTCGAAAAATGTGAATACTTATGCGAAAGAAACAGCTGCCTACAAAGCAAAACTACCTTACCATTCTTCTCTTAGTACACCTGCGAAGATGCTTCCCCTTTTCGCCCTCTACGAAAATTTACTTCGCTTTACAATACCCCTCTGCTCGAGCTTGGAAGGAAGACCGAATCCGGAAGTCCCCATCACCAACAGCAATAACATAGTCGATATATCTGGCGTTGGATTGAAGCAATTTTGGAATTTGAAGAGTCACATGCAAGAATCTAGTGTTTTGGCAACTGCACATTATCCAGAAACCTTGGATAGAATCTTTGTAAGAAAATCATCATCCGGACGGACTATCATCACAATCACTAACCCCGTTAGATTATCGGCGCCCCATCCTTCTTTCCTACAGTCTGGGGTTGGATTAAGCGATGGTTCGACCCTGTCACCGTGAATAAAATCTTCATTCTCGGCCATCATGAAGTCAAGGCCCGGCTATCCGAATACATCCATCCAGACGACTTTCCCAAGAAGTATGGTGGTAACCTCGATTGGGATATCGGCATGGATCCTCATCTGGACCAAGTGACAAGGGAGGCAGTGGAAAGGAACGGTGGTAAAGGATGGATTGGAGGTCCTTGCCTATGGGAACAAAATCAACGAGTCCCTGTCGGCACTGTGAATGGAAAGCCTAGAAGGCCTGCAAAATTGGAGCCTGTAGCTGCCCCAGCTAAAGTAGAGAGTACTATTGCTCCAGCGCCGTCAACAATCGAGCCAGCACCTCTCCCTGTCGAAACACCAAGCACTGTTGTTCCACCACTATCGTCAACCACCATAATCTCAGCAGAAGCCGCACAAGCTCCACCCCCTTCGCTAAACCCAGCTCAAGCCGAACCCTTAGATTCCAGCAACCCGCCTTCAATGACACACTCAAGAAGCACAGCATCAACGTTCATCACCACGCCACCAGCAGAGACAACAACCGCTGTACCTCCAACGGCCATAAATGGCACTACTAAGCCGCCGGAAGAGTCCGAAAGCCTTGTCGTTGCCAATGGCGAAGTTCTCCCTGCCGGTACGGGCAAGCCGCCAATGGAGCGGTTCGTCACCGCGGCTGAAGATCTAAGTACGCTGCGGACGCCGGTCAATAGCGTTTCCTGACCGCGAATCTAGCATTATGGTAGAGTGACAGATCGACTGTTGATGGGTTGGTATACCGTCTAAGATGTCGTGGATCTTCTTTCATTCAAGAGCCTCGAGGAACAGCGGGTAAAGCGTTGGATATTTTTTTATTTTTCTGTTCTAAGTCCGTCCCCTTCCCATACCCTCTTTCTGTACGCGCATGTCTTTGGACCTGGTAATGTTGGTTATGAAAAGCACTGCTTTCGGCCTTCCCTCCCTTTTAATCGCGTCTAGCGCTCTCTACTCGCGTCATTTCTCAGCACTCATTTCGCAAAGATGTCGATGGGATAAATGTGTATGTGCAACACGTGAGGAGGAGATCTGACCAACTGGTCCAAGAGATAGCATTGGATTATATAGCTCATTCTCTAGACCACCGACTCCGAGTTATTCGTCTATTCGTCTATTCGTCTATTCGGTCAGGAAGAACTTCCGAAATGCGAAAGGAAAAAAAAAAAAAAAAACAACCCCGGGCCCTGCCATCAATCACATCAACAACGCAAACAATGATCTGGCGTTTTCAATTCCCTTTCCACGCTCTCTTATTTATGACACACCATCTTGCCCCACCCCACCCCCTTTTTTCGTAGCTTCAACCCCCCAGTACCATCATTCATCCCCGTCTGGTAACCTAATCAAGCGTACACGTAACAAAACGGCGTCATCATCAATAACAATGCTCAGCAACTCGACAATACAATAACTCTTCCGGTCCCCACCATCCAGCACGGCCCAATCCGTCGTGTCATCCAATACCCATCTCGGGACTCTGGGTGTCTGGGGAGGGATGTCCCCGTCCTGCCGATACTCTCCCTGCACTCTCCTCCCACGCCAGATCCTGGGTTGGCGATCGGGCCGAGGGCGACTGGTTTGAGAGGAGCGGTGTCGGGCTTTGAATAGACGGATAGTGGAGAGAGAAGCGGCTCTCTGACCGTACAGTAGATGATCTGGGTTTAATTGATGTGCACGGCGGTGAAATCATCGCCTCAGTGCACGGATCCCGCGACGTTCGGGGCTGCTGAGTAGTACTCCCGGGGCTTGATTGCAGACCTTCGACTGCGGCTAGGTGGTTCCTGCGTTCCGGTTTTGAACATTGCGCGCGCCTGTGCATGACTTCGTCGGTTACCCTTCCTTTGTCAGACTCACTGCGTCTGTTGAAGTATAGCATTCCCTGCGGAGTACAACGTTCGTTCTTCGTGGGGCGGGTAGCGATCGTCTTTGTCTCTTCTCTCCGGTCGGTCCAGCACATTCTGATATGCTTTTTGCGTCGTTGGAGGGAGCGAGGTAGGGAGAACAAAGGAAGAGAGAGAGAGAGAGAGAGAGAGAGAGAGAGAGAGAGAGAGAGAGAGAGAGAGAGAGAGAGAGAGAGAGAGAGAGAGAGAGAGAGAGAGAGAGAGAGAGAGAGAGAGAGAGAGAGAGAGAGAGAGAGAGAGAGAGAGAGAGAGAGAGAGAGAGAGAGAGAGAGAGAGAGAGAGAGAGAGAGAGAGAGAGAGAGAGAGAGAGAGAGAGAGAGAGAGAGAGAGAGAGAGAGAGAGAGAGAGAGAGAGAGAGAGAGAGAGAGAGAGAGAGAGAGAGAGAGAGAGAGAGAGAGAGAGAGAGAGAGAGAGAGAGAGAGAGAGAGAGAGAGAGAGAGAGAGAGAGAGAGAGAGAGAGAGAGAGAGAGAGAGAGAGAGAGAGAGAGAGAGAGAGAGAGAGAGAGAGAGAGAGAGAGAGAGAGAGAGAGAGAGAGAGAGAGAGAGAGAGAGAGAGAGAGAGAGAGAGAGAGAGAGAGAGAGAGAGAGAGAGAGAGAGAGAGAGAGAGAGAGAGAGAGAGAGAGAGAGGAGCAGTATAGCTGAAGAGGTTATGGCATCTTGAGGTTTTTACACGCACGGTTGCACGAGGATAAGTTAAAGGATGCAATAGGAAAGCATGAAGAGAGCAGGCGTTTCCAAGGTACTTTTACCTAGGATTCTCCGGTGCAGTTTCGCACAGCTAACCTCTCTGTGCCTCCGCCAGGTCACCGCTGGGCTGTGAGGAAGGTATGGAGGCTGAAGGAGGTCATATTGTATCGAGTAGGCTCCTCTGGTATGTTATGCTACCACATACAGACAAAGAATACGAAATGCCGACTGAAGAACCTTGGGAGTTCTAGGCGCAAAGTAACTGAGAGAAAATGGGAAATGTGGATCTCCATATGCACTTCTCTATAGCTAAGGATCTTCCTCTGAAGTAAGTCCAAAGCAATGACATGAAGGTCAGCTGGAGGAATAATACCTGATGTCCCAACGGCGAAATACGCTATCTAACTTAGTAAGTATGAGTCCAGGGGTATCACTTGGCGGTCTTGGCAACGGAGGCAAGACAGGAAGGACAATGAGTGGCGGATGTCTATCAACCATTCCGCCAGAAGGACAGCGCTGATGGCTTTCGAACCACGCTTGATTAATGTATTCCCTGAAAATAACAGCACCTCGTCTCTTTGGAACCATCTCGACCAGTTGTCCTCAGGAGAAGCATGATCTCTAATTGCCCCTACACAGATGCTGAAGAACTGTTCGAAGCTGTAAGCGTCATTGAGGTCCACTCCAGAGGTTTGTTTTGTTGGCACAGCAGAGAGATCAGGCAGGACATTATGCAGGAGACCATGCTCTGAGATGGTGATCCACCTCCTTAAGGACCAGATCCCTAACCAGGTAATCTCGGAGCTGACACATGATCTTAAGGTCAGTACCTGCCTCCCGACCTCCAAGTATCGCTCCCACGACCAATACCGCCCCTACCCCGGTACACACCTCGGGTCCCTCTCTCGACTGCTCGGCCTCTCGGCCCAAACCCAAATTCCGGTCCTTTATCCACCCATTCCTCCCTGCCCCTATCAAGCTCGAAAGAGTATCGCTTCATGTCTGGATCGCCACTTTTGGCTCCAGCCAGACTTCTCAGATCTTTGATCATGTCTAAGCGTTCTTCTGCGATGCGAGGATCAGCCGGTTTGTAGTAAAGCTTTGGCTTTGCTGTAGTGGACGGAAACAAGTCATCAAGGGCTCTGAACCCTGTACCAGTCTGTTCAGGCCGCTGCTCTTGTGGCAACGTTGATACTCTTCTTTGAGGTACGTTATCCTCGGACGGTACCAGCCTTGCGCGATCGGGATGTACTCCTGCTATCGTAGCGCTTGTACCAGAAACGTCTGGTTCTCGCCGGTCTATCGATGTTGAAGTTCTTCTCTGTGCTGCAAGTCTGGATGTCGAACTACTACCAACCTCTTGCAGAACAGCTCCGACACCGTCGGGAGAATCTTCATACACAACCTCCCATCGTCGCCCTATTCGTCCACCCCCAGTGGCCTGTTGCTCTGTCTCAATCCACTCTTCCACCTTTTCATCAGGCACAAAATCAACCCAAAGTGGTTCTCTAGTTTTTTCATCTGGAAAGCGCGAGTCGTGTAGGGCAGAACGCGCGCGCGACGCAGCAGCAATCGAACCGAACGCCACAAAGGCGTGTGTTCGGATACTGTCAAGGTAGAACGATGTTATAGAGTCGTTGGTAGCGTCTGTATTCGGCGAGGCAGCCACGGCAGAAATGTGGGATCGCAAGGAAGGTATATGCAGAGGCCGCTTGAAGTTGCGAATGTAGAGAGAAGATGTTGCTGCATGTAACGCCGGTGTTACAACACGATCTTCGTTAGTAGGGAGTTTCGGTGGTGAAGGTGAACGTCGCTTGAGTAGATTCGGTGAGTGGGGTTTCGAACGAGCAGTTGACTTAGGTAGTGAGCGCTGTTCCTCTTGCCTGGCGTCCGGCAGGTGATCGTCTTCCTGCTGGGAGCGCGCTCGACGTATAGGCGAGCGGCTTGCTGAGCTGCGCCCAACCTTGTGCTCTACTTTTCGATCTCGCTCTGATGGTTGAACCTGCGATTGTGAATAAACACCCTCTTCTATCCGTGGGGCTTCCTCCATGGCCCTCTCTTGGAGCTCGTGACCATTACTAACGACATCTTCTGGCGGCTGAGATACATCTCCCGCGGTAGACTCCTCCTTCGGAGTGCTTCTGGGACTTCCATCGCCAGCCTTGGCTCTTTTCTGAGCCACTTCGTCGGTGGAAGGAGGCGGTGTGAAGCTTCTTCGTTTCCGCTTTCTAGAGTCCTCAAGAAACTCGGCGGATGGAACTGGGCCAGATGACGGCGTGCTCGTCGTGGACGCGCGAGCCAATTGCGACTGCGGAGTATTGACACGACCTGAGCTCGAATGTGAGGTAGGCTGCTCTGTGGGTCCTGCGGATGATGAATCCCGCACATTGCCGGCAGCTTCTGTTATTTGTGACTGAGGCTCGCTGGTTCGATCTTCGACAGGTGTGGCTGATGGCGCAGACATCATGATAGTGTCCTGAAACGCCGTGGCGGGTATGGACTGGGATTCGGCGTCTACAACATCGTTCTTTTCGTTCGGACCGTCCCTGTCTGCTGCTGATTTTCCCGGGCCACCCTCTGAGACTTGTACGTTCTCTGTTGCTGGTTGGTCATCCACTACTTCATCCTTCTGGCTCGGTGCGGCTTCTTCTGCCGCTGCCTTGTCATCATCTTGCGCTGCAACGTTCGGCGCAGAAGTGGCTTGGTCACCAACCGTCGTTGTCGCCGCCGGACTGTTCGATGCTTTGTCAGCGGCGTCTGCTTCCAAGAGCCGGTCGATATAGTCTTGCTTTACTTTCAATTTTGTAAGGGGAATGCTGCGCTTTTTGAGCTCTTCCTTTAGCTCTGTCACCTTCAGCTTGCCGTAATCCGTCATGATCACGGAGCCGTTCAGCAGTCTTTGGCCGAGCTTTGATGGGGGGCTAAAGAACTAGTATGGTAGAATCGCCGAGCGCGACATTTCATCCCTGTGGTACGAGGTCAAGTCAACTCTCACAACAAACTTTGAATGCGCCTGGCCGCATCGCCAAAAAAGAGAGGACGCTTTTCCTCAACAGGCAATGCGGTCATTCTTGCCAAGAAGTCTGTCCTCCAGCGTCTCGCATTCCAAAGCACGCGGCACTCGTCACTCGTCACGGTAACTTACTCAACTATTGTGTTACAAACCGGCAGAATCACCACTAGAGCTGCCCGAGATACTCGTAACTTGAAGAGTCGACTCGAGAGACTTTAGAGAGATTTCTAAGAACGAGGCTGACCACCAGATTCAAAAGTCCCGAGGAGAAAGCTGAACAGACCGCCGATAAGCTCAGATTGCAAATGCACCCAAGTTTTGTTTATCCTCCAGCACTCGGTGATCAATCTGCCATCAAGTTTTGGTGGAGCCTGTCATATAAACTGCCAGGTTTCCAACATTCGGCCTCTGCATGTCGCTGTCAAATGCTGGCTGCGCTGAGATAAGCCGACCAGGGTATCGATCCGCAATGATCGAACAATAGAGGACACGCCCACAGAGCTCCGGGGCTACATCAGCAGCCCGTCTAAAGTTTATAGGTACTGTGCATTGCGAAACTCTCGAGACTCGATTTCTTTCTCCATAACCCACAAGACCATGTCCATCACAGCTGTAGGCAGTGCCGTCGAGTATTCAGTGCACGAGAAGAGGCCGAAGGTGACTATATCCTATTGTAGCTGTTCTCGAACGCTTTCAGCCTACTACTATCTTCACATCCCGGCTTCATACCAAAATGCTCATCAAGACGTACTTTTTGTTCAGCCGCAAACGAAAAAGCCAATCGTCGCTCCAGTAGACAGTGGACCCCTGAATGCATGCGCCATACACCACCGCAGGTAGTACCAGTCGCGACCAACGCAGTGATGCTCATTCGGAGCCCTTCCCTTCCGCACGACTGCCCTGTCGCGCGGATTTCTTCTCTGCCATAACCCCCTTCAAGACGTCCAACCTCGCCTGCGTGACCCGTATAGCATCCTCCATCTCCCTTTCCGTCATGCGTTCTTCTCTGAGACGAGCCTCGACGTCCTTGCCGGCCAGGATCTTCTGCCTCTCCTTCGCCTTGGCTCTTGCCGTCAGGGCAGACGCCTTCTTCCCCTTCTGCTTCGCATGGTCGTTCAATCCGAGACCCTCGATACCGACCCGGTCCTCGAGCCACGACCATAGTTCGCTCTCCTCCCGTTGCCACATTTCTTCGTAGGCGGCCAGACGAGCAGCACTAGGGTATTCGGGATATCCAATCCCTCCGGCAGGACCACGCACAGGGCGTCGGAACCATATTACGCAGAGCAGGATCACGATGGTAACCACTGCCATGGTCCCAGCGAAGGGTTTGAAGATACTCACGATAGGACCGAATATGCCTCGAAAAGGTTCGAGGAGACCCCAGCTCTCTTCCTCCCGTTTCACTACCTGGGACTGTGGTGACGGGCTAGAGCTCTTCTCGCCCTTTCTTCTCCGCTTGCCTGCCTTCAGTCCTTTAGATCCCGCGGTTGCGGCTCGAGGCCGAGCCGACACTGCAGACCTGAGTGCCTTGACCAAGTCGTTTCCGTATGTTTGCTGCCCATCAGTTGCACCCTTTTCAATTGGACCTAAGTGTAAAATTAGTCGCTGCAGTCATCGGCCAGAAAGACAACATACCCTTCAGCCACGACTTGCCGGTCCACTCGATGGTGCAATTCATCTGCAGCCGGGTGGCATTGCCAGCAGCCCAAGATAAGCAATACCGCGTCTTGACGCTGAACACGTTGCCACTGGGCACGTCAGGAGTCTGCGTCGTACAGGTCACCGATACGGATCTTTCCAGGTCAAAGGCGTCCAGGTTCTCCGAAGTGGTGCATTTCGTTTGCTTCGGGCCGATAGAGCCATACAGTGGCTTGATATACGAGTAGCTGCGCGTTTTGTTCTGCTCGCCTAGCCCTTTCTTGTCGTCGTCATATTGAAGCTCTGTCACTTTCTGTTCCTCAACTAGATACTTGGTGAGAAAGATGCCAGAACTGGGTCCAAATAGCATCGAGTAGATCTTGCCTAAGGGAGCAGGTATGGTTTCATCCTTGAGCACCTTGTCATAATGAGTTGCGCTGTCGGTGCAGTCGGTTGGGGCATGACTAGCTGGACCGGGGAAGTCGACTGTTGCGGCGGAAGCTGCTGCCAATGCCTTTTCAGCAGCTTGCCCATCGCCAGCGGCTGCTGATTGAGCTACCACAGCGCTAGCTGCAGCACCGCTGATTGCCGAAGCTTTTCTGACGGCTGCATGTGCGGCATCTGTAATGTCACTGCCCGCGATACTGCGAGCTTCAACAAAACTGCCAACGCCCTCCTCTTCCTCATCTTCATCATACATCTCGTCCTCGTCTTCAGATTCCTCCTCGCTCTCCGATTCGATCTCAGCGAGCTTGTCCGTCTTCTGGGCTGTCTCTTCTTCAGCTTGCTTGCCATTGATGGATTTCTTGAATGCTGCAGGATGGCTTGCCTTCCATATCCCTACCATCAGATCAAAAGTTGCTTCCCGGCTGAGCAGGCTTCGAAAGGTATGTCGAGCATGCAGAGTCTGAATCGCAATGGCATTGGGAAATACCATGGCCGTGGTCTCTCTTTCTATGGCCATGACCTCCTCAAATGAAATGACAAGAGTGGTCACCCAGCCAAGAATGTTGCTGGAGAAGCAGATGTGTCCTTCAGATATGTATATCCTGCCAGCCAACAAGATCTCCTTTTGCAAGGCACAGCTGTAATCCTCGATGAGAAAATCGTCCTCGGGCACACTTCGGAAAAGTTGATGAAAGGTCCGATTACGCGCCTTCGGTGCAACCGCAAACCCAGTAAGCTTTGGACCGGCTGCTGGATTGGCTAAGCTTGACGCGCTGGCCGCTAGAAGCGTGCCCACGCTCGATATACCGGTAGCAGTGGAAGAGCCCCTCTTTCGCCGTTCTTTTAACCGACTTCGAACGCTATTGGTGCGTCTTACAGAACCCGTCTCGCCATCAAGGATACTACCATTTGGAGTCGTCTGTAGCTCTCCTGATACAGTACTATTGAATGTGGAACTGTGCTTCATATTGTTCATTGGCTCGGATAGTTCGGCAAGAGGCGTCTTGGAGCTGTCCTCAGACGGCTTCTCATATGCAGCGGATACGGCCCGCTTGGCCAGCATATCTTCTACCTTAGCGGCAGCTTCGTCACGTTGGATCGTCGAGTCTTTCCGCGCGTCGATAGGATCAGGTCTTGTAGAGCCGTTCTCTTTTGACTCTGTACCAATACCTAGATGGCTCAACTTCAGATCACCGGCGCCCAATGTTTCAACAGCCAATTGCTTCTTCGGCAAACCAGGCTCTTCACCCAATTTACCTATCAAGTCAGACCGCCTCTCGGTGGTTGTTGGTTTTTCTGGCTCGCTGTCTTCAGTCCCAGACCTGCTTCTGGTCTGGGTATTGAGGGTGTTGGTAATGGTGTTCGCAGCGTTCTGTGCTGCTGAAACCCAGGACGAGAAGAATCCACTTCCTTGGGTGACGTTTCTTGATTCCGATCTTGCAGAAGGCGTTTTAGCTTCTTCAATTGTAGGGGTGAGAGGCGCAGAAATGGCGTTCGAGAGTTTACTCGGTTGGTGTAGAGATCCTGATTCCGAATGCACACGTCGATGTGATATCATGTTACCCGACGGGCTAACCTTTATGCCGCTTGCATCACTGGACCGCGTAGGAGATTCTGAATTTCGTACTGGGGATCTTGGGGTCGGAGCCCGAGAGTCGACAGGAGTAGGCGGCGTCACGGTTGTCAGCGGGGCGGTCGATGCGGCGCTCGGAGGGGTCTGCGGTCTGGTCTTGGGATTCAATGGGGAGATGCCTGCACTGGAAATGCTCGGCTGATTAGAGCTGTCGGTCTTTGCGCCAACCAAAATAGGAGGAGGGGCTGGCGCCTTCGTCCGAGCGGTCGGTCCAGTTTCGTTGGTGGTAGCATCAGCTGCTTGAAGGTCGCTTCTAGTACCACGCAACGACCCTCTATCTGGACTGGTTCTGGGACCCTTTGTGGATTTCCCAGGTTGGAATGCTTCCTTCAACTTTCGACCTGGAGAGATGCCACGAATCGAGGTACCAATGCTCTTCCTCCGAGCTGACCGGGACTCTGTTGGAGGGCCCAGGGTGTTTGCGCGGTCGAACAAGGTTGGAGAATTCAGGGCCGAGGTCGAACTGGTAGCAGGCAAGGTGGGTGAATGTATTATGGAGGGAGCACCGGAAGCGCCGAGGGTAGGGCTCTGTAAGGGTTCTTCGGACGACTGCGCCGGCTGTGATTCAGTCTGCGAGGTCGAGACAGTGTCGTCAACCGCAGTGGTATTGATAAGTGGCGATGAATGCGTAAGGTAACCAGCATGAGAGTCGTGGGTTAAAAGAGGCGGACAAGCTCTGTGGGTGAAGGCCACGTCATTAGCTGAGAAGCTGTGATGGCTATGGGATGGAGGAAATGAATGATAGTTCTCAATCAACGCAGAAGAATATATGATCAGTTAACACATTGGAGTGGGATAGGGAGCAAACTCTGATGTCTGAGAGCAAAACAGACTTTCAAACGAGTGTCCTTTGTTGGGAGGATTGGGTTGCGCTACAGCCCCCACGCAATAACAAAGTATAGTACTTACGAGGCAGGCTCAGACTCGTCCTCCGTCAAGAGGCTGGAGTTGTCATCTTGAGGTAAGCTCGTTGAGCTGTGATTCCGCGATATTGGAGCAGGCGCATTGGCTGTCTTGATCGTAAGCTTGTTGTTGTTGTCGTTGTTGTCGGTAGACTCGCCTTCAGGTGGTAGCAATCCGCCTGCTTCGCGCATCCTTCTTCTCTTCCGCTTTGCATGGCCTGGGATCAGCTTCCGGAAGCCACTAGAACCAGACTTGCTGCTATCATCGCGACTGGAGATCCTGCTCAGGTCTTTCGGAGAGTGATCCCGGGCCGAATCAGCGGATTTTCGTAGGCCGTGGGTGCTGCTCGTGTCGCTGCCTGGTTCTTGAACGGAGGTGCGACTTCTGTTCGACAACACCTTCTTGAACCCGCGAGGCGATGCCACTGGTGATGGCATGGGAGCCTGCGATACTGCCTCCATTGCTGGGTGTCACGAAGAATGGCAAGTATGAAGAAAAGGGTCTTGATGGGGGCGCAAATGGAGGGTAGTGCGGTACCGACGCTCATTCAATCCACCACCGTGACATCACAACCAGCAGTATTGCGTAGGTATATACACACTATACACACTCTAGGAGGCGGATCGCCCAATAAATGGAACTGAGGCAGGCAAGAATGTCAAACAGACCACAAGAAGAACCACGTTACATATCTCAGATGTATGTATTACATGTATGTACTACATAGCTTGTCGGTCTCTAGCTGGCCCACTAAATAGACGTCGCCCCTTGTTAAGTTGTTCCTATGCTCTCAGCTGCTCGCATCGTGACTCGTGAGGCAGCCCACCTGTGAATCGTAAAATAAAATGACAACTTCTATTGACACGAACGTATATTCAACCCTCCAACCTTATCTACCAGCACAAATCCCTACTCCACTAATTCAACGATATGGAAGACTCTCCGATCACGCTGGTAAGGCGCTACTCTCCAGATTTCTACCCACTCATCCTGAAGCTCTCTAGGCACACACTCACGCTCGGAATGCGGTCCTTGAAACCAGACGATCGAATCCAGTGGCTGCGAGTGAAGAGCATGATCTAGCAGCAGCGGAATTTGCGCATGCCGCCCAGAGTACACATGATGCAGAAGTAAGGAGCCGCAAAGGTGTTGTTCAGGGTTGACCTGTGCTGATCCCTGCCTGCAGGCTCTTCGGACCTTGAGCCTGCTCGAAGAACATCACAAAAAGCTAGGACAGATCCTCAAGTTCCGGCATGAACACCCGCAGGCCGCTGTGAAGCTGGAAAGCCATGACAATGTCGACGAGGGCAAATCGAAGCAAAAAGGGACAGAGGAACCAGCAGAAGACACCTCCAAGCACCTCACAGGTCTGGACGCTTTGCAGCAACCTCCTAGGCTGGCTAGAGGTACGCGCGCGACCGCTCGAGATCTATCATCGTCGATAGCTAGCAATCTAGCATCTGCAAGAGGTATCCCTGGGGGTCATAGGCGAGGTATGCCTGCCTCGCCAACAATATCTGCGCAACATGTGCCCGGGAAATTCGCAAAAGACCAAGCCAAAGCGAAAGGGGTGCAAGAAACATCCAGGGCTTCGAAATTACAGTCAGACTTCTTCAACTCGAACGATCGTTCCCATGATGGCAAGCCGTCCTGGGCGCCCCCTAATCATGTCACAAATGAGGAGCCAGCGAAAACTGCATCGCCAGCAGCGGAGTCGGTGGCTTCCACGAGTGATGCACCGTTTCAGCAGTTCTACCACACTCTCGAGTCCCTCATGTCCAAGCTCACCGCGCCTCTGGCCTTTGCCGGCTTACCCCTAACATCCAATGCAAAACCCACAGCTCCATCAGACAACAGTGCAGAATCAAAGAAGCCTTCACCATCGGCACCCGAGAAAGACCTAGACTACTCCCAAATGATTTCCAAAGCCGCTCTCCGTGCCGTTCAAGATGGTCAACCTGCGTCCGCCAACCCAGCAGAGTCCTTCTACGTCGTGCCAACAACGGGCGGCACAACCTCCTATGCCGACATCATGACCCGAGCTGATCGTACAGCCGCATCCTTACGACACACCCGCCATCTCTCCAACCTGTCAGAAGACAACATGGAAGATTTCGTGGACGCAAAGGAAACTCTACAGCCAGCAACAACAACAAAAGATCCCCAGTCCCCTGATCTAAGAAAGCTAAACCCATCCTCGTCCCAGCCTCATAAAAACAACCACCCAGCCCCACCCCAACCCAATCAACCGCACCTCCTCGAAGAACTAACCCTAACAAACACCTACCTCAAACAAACCATCGACAAACTCTCCAAACGCCTGCACATCTTCGAAGCCTCCGCGCAATCCTCCAGCGCAGCGCTCGCCTACTCTATCCGCTCCCTCACCACCACCAACCACAACAACGACAATCAACCCACCTCCAGCCCGCTCGGCACACCGGAAAACAGCGCCGGCAAACCCAGCAGTCACCCAAACACCGACGAGAAGGCCGCCAAAAGGATCGCGGAGCTCGAGGAGATCCTGCGCAAGAGCGATCGCGAGCTGGCGAGACGCGAGAAGGAGAACGTCAAGCTGAACGAGAATCTGCGCCGGTATCGCGACAAGTGGGAGAGTCTGAAGAAGGGGGCGAAGGCGAGGAGGGAGGGTGTCAGTAGTAATGGGAATGGGAAGGGCGAAGATGCGATGGGAATAGAGTAGCGAAGCGAGAGTGTAAAGTCAAGTGAGCCTAACTAGAATTGTTGAAGATGGCACATATATTTCTTGATTTTTGCTGTTATGCTCGCCCGCACCCTCGATATCCATACATTACGTATATATTATGTATGAGCTCGGTAGCAGTGGCCAAATTGTCAGGACACCGCAGAAGGGAAGGGTTTCGCATAGCCAGCCGCTGCGCACAACAACGACACAAATGATCTAAACATGTAGGGGGAAGATCCCCGTTGATTTTTTTTTTCCTGTCCTGTTGCGTGCCATATCAGAATGCCACTGCCACTGCCATGGGATACACCACTGTTATCATACTGATCGGTAAACCCAAAACCCTAGATAAGGATAAGCCCAACCAACCCAAATCACCAACCAATAACGCTCATGTACCGCTTGATTGAATACCAGAAGCGCGCAGGGGGGAAAAGGAAAAGAAAGACATAAACATATAATCATGGAGATGGGTGGGGGGGATGAGAGATGGGATGCTCAAATAGTACGAGTAGGCGCCTCGCCAGCAACATCCTTGGCCGCATCGGCATGCTTTCTCGACGACGACGGAGCCGGGCTCGGACTGGGACTGGGGCTGGGGCTCGAGCTCGAGCTCGAGCTCGCGCTGCCAGAACTTCTGCTGCCCTCCTTCCCCCTCCTTCTGCGGCCCACCAGCCCGGACAAACTCTCGCTCATATCCTGCAATTTGGCCTTCTTGGCCTCCACACTCGCCTGCCCGCCCAGCACTTCCCGAACCTCCCTCCCCGGCTCAGCCTCCTCAATACCACTCAACAACGGCTCTTGAGCACCCTGGCCACCAGCCGCCGC